TTATCGTTTTTATATTATTTTTAGTTTGTAGTCGATAAATAATGTTTTTACTGTTTTTTTTTTTAACTCAAATTAAATAAGGAATCATGAAATTTTAATGTTTTAAACTGTAACTCTTAGTAGTTAGTAATATGGATATGTACAAATAAGTCAAAATATTCTTAAAATACCAAAAAAAATCAATAATAAATACCTTGTCATTAAAATATATGTAAATCAGTCATTATATTAAATCTCGATTTTTAATTATTTTTGTTTCACAAGTCGTTTAATAACAAACGTATGACATTGTCATTGACCACTGATCATTGACATTTAATCGAAGGGACCGATTAGACTGTACATTGACTTTTATTTTATTGGATTAAAAAAAAGATTTTTGTTAAATGCCTTCTTATAATTTTTTTTTAATGATTAAACCACATTTAAATAAATCGTTTCATGAGTCACTCATGATAAATAACGAAGCGTTTTCAAATTTAATTTGTAGTTTTGTTTCCTTTTGTTCTAAAGTATTTGAGTCACCAGCTATATATATTTAATTGAATTTATAGGTACAGCGGCATGTGTAAATGGTGTATATAGGTGAGTGTATGATGCGGGTCGCCGCGGCCAGTGGACTACTCCAGATAACGAGCACGTGACGTGAACTTGGGGTCACGACAAGTGCGTTGTATTAACAGACATCGTCTATTTATTATTGTTAATCACAGTTTTATTATTCTCAAACACATTTTCAATAAATATTTATCGTGTATATCGAACAATTTGTGGTTACTTTTAGGCATTCAACCGTTTTGTTTCAATGTTTCTCATAAGGGGGCGTTTATAGCCAACTGAAGATGCCTTTAAAAACAATGAAAAGTGAAAATAAATTATAGTAGAATGAAACTCATTAGAAAAGGAGAATAATATTATAAAAATTAAAGGATAAATAATTTAGAGTAGATCTGAGGTCGGGAAGGGTATGGGGGATTGTATTTAAGGGTAAAAAATGGGTTTTCTCGATTTCCGACAAAACTAAAAGTCCTATGGAAAAAAGTTATATGGCAAAGTTGTAGGTAATAAAGACCTAAAACTTTTGGACTAACATTTTTTTCACATAACCTCAAATTTTATGTGAAAAATTCGAAAAATCAAGTTTTTGCTTTTTTATTTTTATCTCTTCCAAAAAACTATTTTTTGTCACGAAATTTGGTGAAAACTTTTCTTTTGATGTTCCAAATGCAATGTAATTTATTTGATAAGAAATATTCAGTTTTTCAGCTTATTTTGAATCAATACCGAAAAATTAGCCACATTTTCAATCAAAAAATCACCCGTCAAAATATCAGTTTTTTTTCAAAAATTTGGTGTTTTCTGTTTGTTGAAATCTCTATTTTCCGATGGTGAAGAAAAAAATATAAGAAACAAATGATATTAATCTTATGACGATTACGCTTAAGATTAAATCCTAATCATCTGGTTTAAACTAAAATAGTATTTATGTTTCATTCAGAAAAAAATTGCGTGATATTTACCGAGACCTCCGTCTCTCCAAAGTAAGATAAGATGAGATTTGACTCGACCGCCTCTCCCCTTAACATGTGACGTATTTTATGAACGCCTCTAAGGTTAACTATCAAGTTTCTCCTCTGTACTTGTCAAAGGACAAAGGTTATACATATATAGGTATATCTTAGTCTTGTACACATAATACGAATGAGAATAAGTAATACTTTACATACTTAAAGTGTGAAACAGATTAACGCAATGCCTTGTATCATAATCTATTTTGATACTGTTAAATAAAATGATTAATTCATTGAAAATCTAGCATTCAGGCCTCATGAAAATTTCTTTAGTCAAAAGGAGGAAACTGATTTATTTTCTTTCTTACAAAGAAATGGGAAAATTTCAATTATTTATTCTCTGTAATAAAATCTTTCAAGTAGTTGCAATGCATTCTTTAAAATATAAATATTATTATAATTCGCAAAATGTCACGTAAAGTGGAGGAGACACGAAAAACTTCGTTATAAAATGCTTATTTAGCATCTTCGTTTGAAGTTACGATTATAGCACTTACCAACATTTATAAAACAAGCAAAATGAGATGTGTGAATAGAAATCTAATGTCTAATTTTAAGAAATAAAAACAATCTTTATAAATAATTGTAAGTATAATGACAGCTTAGTTATATACCTACTTATAAATGTACAATAAGTATAATAATGGTAAAAATTTAACACACCATGCAGCTGGGATGATTGTTTGGTGAGAGCTTGCTTTGAGGCCACGAGAAAAGTCTTAAGTACTTATGTTAATCCTAGAAAAGTTTTCATTTTCTTTTTCACTCCTTGACTTAACCAGTTAGAAAGTAGAACCAGCACCAAATACAGATTCAGACATTTGTTCTATATAAATTCACTTTTTTGTAGAATATGCTAATAAAATGTAAAAATAATTTGGCCTTATGTCAGGAAGTGCAAATTAAAGGGATATTTGAATTATCGTTCCAATGTTTTTGCTTATTGGTGATTTTAGCCACCAGAATAAAATAGACATATCTCCATTAGCTCAAGGATATACGAGTTTATAAAGAAATATTAAGGTTATTGTGCGGATACTATCATAAAGGACAACAGAGGTGTTTAACTTTATTTGATCTTGAAGTCAAAGTGGTTTTAAAATGTGATGACAAACTATGACGGAAAAGCTAGTCGTTAATGGCCTGGACTGAACTATTGTTCTCCTGTTTCATGACAACACAGGAACAAACATTAAAGGACTTAAGATCGTTAAAACACGAACTTTGATTTAATGTGTCTCCAACAGATAGATAACCTAATTATATTTGAGGAAATATTTTACAAGGAAAAAACTCCAGGAAATAGTCAACACCGTGTCTAGTTGGTTGGTTGTGTTAAATATGTCCTTCATCTGTGCAGAGACTTGCACAGTATATTCTGCCAGTGTCGCCTAGAATGGAGGAGACACGATCCAGAGTTAACTTAGGAATGTAATAAAATATAACAGCTTCGACTGAAGTTACAATTATAATCTGGGTTAGCAGAAAAACCGTTATTAAAATATTTATCAAATCTGTTAAAATGTATTTATCAATGAAATCCATAAAATGGCGACCGATTATAATTATATTGTATTTTAACACTTTAGTGTTTACTCATTCCATATACCTAATAAGTAATAACCAATAACGTAATTTTTGTGCTAGAAGCGAGTATAAAAAAACTTTAACTTAAGTACCTCCTGGCTATTCGTAATTTCAAGCTACAAGAAAATGTGAAAGTTTACTAACAGGGGTCAGTAAAAAAGATGAGCATTTGATATAGTTTGATTAACATACACATATATTATAGATGTTCATTTTGTTTATTGTATACTACTAAAGCTCAAAGTGTGTTTTTGCACGCAGCATGTTGCACGTGACACGTCTTGTAACTTATATAACGAACCAAAAGTCGTATAAAAATTTTCAGTGTCGAAAATATTATTAATTATTCATCAATCATTCGTCAATCATCAATTTCGTTTATTTAGTTCTTTCTCGGTAATTTAATTTTCTGTCAGCGAGGCTCATGAGTTATATTACTGTTATTATTCTACATTTTATAACAATGAAGAGTGAAGACCAAAGAAATCCGATTCATTTAATAACTACACAATTTATTTAGTTTATTATTTATATAATATAGTTTCACTATCAGTCTTGTTGTTTTTGTTATCTCAGTAGTTTATATTAAATATATTTTTTATTTGTTAATATATCATTAGTGCACATTTTTTTCAATAATTTTGATTGGTTATACTAATGATGTTCGACCCTAGACTGTCACGTGGGAGTGACATTTGTGATATCTATACTAATATTATAAAGCTGAAGAGTTTGTTTGTTTGTTTGTTTGAAAGCGCTAATCTCCGAAACTACTGGTTCGAATTGAATAATTATTTTTGTGTTGGATAGTCCAGTTATCGAGGGAGGCTGTGGGCTATATAACATCACGCTACGACCAATAGGAGCAAAGATATAGTGGTAAATGTGTAAAAAACGGGAGAAATTATTTCATCTTTGAAGCCTTCCGTTGCGTGCGCCGTGAAAACGGTTCAAGATACACAAAAAATATGTATTAAAGAATAATAGCTCTTTTAATGATCTAAAAAACAGTCCGCGACAGTATATGTCTATCTTTTAAGATTAACTCACAAAAACAGTTTTTATGGTACCTAATTTGGTCGAAATAATTTGTTTAAGTTGTATCAACATAATAATATAAATCTTTATTCAAATAAACAAATAAATATGTTGTTGGTTAAGAGTACTTCATTGTGAATTAAAAAAACATAGTTTTTATCCTGAAAATTCTACGGGAACTCCACCATTCCGAAAACCTCGCAAGAACGGGAACTGTGTGGGAAGAACCAAAAATCTGCCGGAAGTCACTATTCCACGCGGACGAAGCCGCGGCAAAAGCTAGTTGTTTATAATGTTAAGACAGAAAGTAATAAAATTTAGGAAATTACATTCAAGTTATCAAGAGTATATTATTTTATATTACTTCCATTACATTCACGAAATAAGTCGAGGTCTTCAACAAATACATTAAATAGGGTTGAAATGATGAAACGTGTCGTCTTAGAGTGGAAGACTGACACGAGGACTTGTTAAAAAAATCTCAGTGACTAACTAAAGTCTACAATAAAGTGTGTGAAGGGTCATTAAAACATGGAGTAATTAAAATATTTATTTAATTATTCTTACATTACATTATTCTACATATCACACGAACTTATTACATCCACTAATAATACGCCCTGCCTCCTACCACAAGTCCCAGTCCCAACTTTACATTAAACATACGGCGATACTAACATATGAGAGTATTCATGAGTAGACTGGAAACGTTACGTGTTAAGTTTGGGGGAACTTGTAGTAAGAGTACAGAGCGTCTGAACTAATGAGTCTCTATATATAAAGGTGTTGTGTCCGTCTGTACGTCTATACGAGCGGGTAGGAAGCGGCGGAGGCGATTCCACAGTGGTTGTCTCTGTTGCGAGCCATCTTAATGTAACCTTCGTCGCCCCAAGACGGACCCCATGAGTTCTTAACCAGCCAGTAGTCACCACCGTCTTCGTCTGTACCGTAACCCACTACCAAAACCTGGGGAAATTAGTAGTGTTAATACACTTATATAGTGGACTAGTGGAGGGTGTTCATGGAAAGTTGATAATGGTTGAATGATATATATTGAACTGATAAATTGATGATAGGAGTATGATGAACAGCGTTATAGGCGGTTACCATACATGACGTAACATAATGTCAATTTATAATTTTTGTCTGTGTAAAATTAATTGTGTATGGTGTACAAAAATTATATTAAAAGTATATTTTGTCTATCTATAACATAACATAACCTTTGACCCCGTATTTCCCGGACAAATCGTGACCAACTGACAATGACATGACCTAAATATGACCTTATAAGTCCATCTCCCTCCCTCTATACTTAGTTCATAAAGCTGGTCATTTCCCTGGTCCATAACTTCAGTCGTGTGTGTATGTGTGTGTGTTCTCACCCCGTGGTCGAGGTTGTCGGAGGAGCAGTTCTCGTCGTAGTAGACCCCGTCGGAGTATAACTGGAAGGACTCCTGGCTGGCATCAATGGCCACAGATACGGGCCCCACAGTGGCCAGCGCCAGCATCAACTTGTGTTCATCTCCAGCGGGAATGTCAACGAAGCCAACGTCCTCAGCGCCTGAGTTCTTGGGGTTGTACCTGGAAAACGGATAGATATAACTTGGTTACATACACACACCAGAGCTTGTGAACGACAACTATATTCTAAATGAAACTAATATTTTTCGGACTCAAAACTCAAACTCAAAATCAAATAACTTGATTCAATATAGAGGCATTACACTTTCTTATTGATGGTCATTTGAGACACTACCACCGGTTCGGAAAACAAAATACCCTGACCTGAGAAGAACCGGCGACTATACTACGCAACTTTATTTTTGTAAAAAACTACATACTACCGACGTTTCGGATAATTTTCAGCAACCGTGATCACGGACAGACGAAATGTGAAAGCAAAATTTCATTTACATGAATAAAACTCGCGAAAAACTTAGATATTATTTTATCCTAGCTAAGAGTCTCATGTTTATCCTTGATCCTCTCTGTAAGTAATATATGTATATCTCTCACCTGCACTTATCATCCACAGCCTCGTAAGGGTAAGTCTTCTCAGTATCAATACCGTCGTTATCCTTGATGTATTTGAACGCGTTATCCATAAGTCCTCCATTACAGCCATTGTTGCCGTATGCAGAGGAGCAGTCTATGAGGTTCTGCTCCGACAGAGACACAAGGAACCCGCTCTTACGGAAATGTTGACCTTCCAACGCTCCAGTCTGATAAAAAACATATATATGACATATTACAACATAAAGAGATGGATCAATCAGCAGTTGATCTGAACGAACGATAATGAACATTAAACTAATTGACTCTGTTCATTGACGAAGGTATTCAGATATAATTCTTCCATCATCACAAGCAGTTGATGACTGGTCATGGCAACAACAATAATATATTGCGTCATGTTATTATTGATCGTGTTGTAACATGTGACCCTTCATACGGCTTCACTTCTGACCCCACTAAGTCTTCTACGAGAAGGAAATCATTACTTGGTATATAATAGTTTGTTTTATAATTCATTTATAAGAAAAATATGAATCATGACGATCGATAAATGTTCGGTATTGAGACACAATGAACATGAGTCATGTTGGATTAAAATATGATATTAATATATGTTGTGGATCGATTACAAAAACACATGTCACCACGTGTGACACAGATTAATATACAAATATATTGTTAACTACAACAACAAAGAATTATGTGTCAGTTTCTGGTGACTGTTGTTGGACGATGATTATTAACGAATGTTTACATTTAAAATTGTAACACGACACGCGACAGGCATCATACTACACCTACACATATACATATATTTCAACTTCTACAAAATTTCAAGAACAACACAATTTATTCGTTAAATATTATTTATAAGTATCAATTTTTTTTATATAAATATGTAGCATTAAACGATTTTAACACATCGATGACAATAAATATAGGGGTAACAACAATTGTATGAGGGTAACCAGTGCCGTAACTAGGGCAGTGCTAGCAGTGCCCAGGCACAGGGCGCAGAAATGACCAGACTAGTATCTAGTTTTATCTTAAGCATGGTAGCTATATACTTTTTTAAACAATAAATAGATAGATTTATTTGTATGCACATTTGCCCATTTTATTTTTAGAGCCTGGTTAAAGCATTTCTCAGGGGAGCAATTTTGAAAGCTCGCACCGGGTGCATAAAAGGCTAGTTACGGCACTGAGGGTAACAGTAGGGTAAACTCACAGTAGAGAAGGACCAGCATGACCCACACTTCCCCTGGTCCTTAACAGGGGTCACGGCCCCATGCTGCCTCCAGTCCACGGTGGGGGGCGCCGCCACGTTGGCTGGGGACACGAACGTAGCCCCGCGGATGTCGTTACCCTTCGCGTACAAGCCCTTGTTGTGTCTGAACACAACATGACACAAATCGTTATAAAAGTTCATCAAAAGTAATCTAATTTAAATCAATTACGAGCACGAAAATTTAATAAAAAATATATAGAAAATATCTGAACAGTTTACTAAGTACGTTTTTTTTAATATAAAATTATGTATAATGAGTATAAAAGCACAGTTAGGTATTATTGTATGACTCATACTGTTTAGTATATTTAACGAACGACTCAAACTTAACAAATTGCATTTACATCATCTGCAACTTAAAAAACAGCCCCAAAACGAGATTTCAAAGTCAATGACCTTCAATTCGCTGTTCAGACAACTGTATGTACCGACCGGATACTCGGTTCATGTTAAAACTTAATTGTATTGAAATAATTTGTTTATATATTATATTATATTATTTTACATTAATTTCCTAGTAATAATAAGGTCATGTTACCCGTCAGTAAACATGATAAAAGCTTATCACAGCTCAGATACTTATTATAAACAATTACTTGTTTAGGGAAACCCAAAACACTCAAATATTAAAAAAAAAAACAAATAGCCAGTCAAATACAACGGCTATCGGTAATCAAAAGACTTTGTGGGACAAATATTAAATACAATAAAAATTACATATAAATAACTTGATTGTCTAAAGAGGGTTGATGTCAGGCAGGTCGTAAAAACAATTAGCCAAAACTATTCACATATAAGGCAGACCCTGGCTATAACTGGGAAAATTGCAAGGAATAAGAAGAAATAACTTGAAATATCTAAATATTACGTATATAAGGGGGCGTATGTCACGTGTTCTTACTTACTTGACGGTCTTGTTGAATCCGTTCATTGTGTTCACGAACTCATGATGCAGCATGTCGGAGTACTTGTTGGTCTTCAGCCTGTAGGTGACCAGCCCCTTCTGGTACCTCTGGTTATGTTTGGCAACCTTGTGTTTGTTCTCCGCGTATATCTTCATACGGAACTTCTCCTCCGTCTCGCTGTCGTACTGCTTCTTGTGCTCTAACTGATGACACAGGGATAAAAACGTTTAGAAAAATATAATATAATACTTCATAAGTATGTATGGATGCCTTAAAGAATTCACAATTTTTGAGTAACAAACATTCAAACGAGATGATAATAATCTGAGTATCACAAGTCGCTAAAATATACACATATACAGTATACACTTTTAAAACAAAATGCGTAATTTAACAATAAATAAATTATTCAAATCAGAAACACGATATATTTTCTTTTATTAATTTGAGTAAGAATGTTAAGTTTCTTTCTTAGTTATTAAATATGATTCATCATTAAATTCATAATAAAAGTAATATTACTACAAATTTAAAAAAAACATAAAGGGGCGTAAAAAATAATATGAGCGGTCTCGTCCGTAAACAAAAAAAACGCCTCTGCACATAATCTTTGACTTAATAGACCGTATGCGAAGACGCTATAAAAAACTGAGAAAAAAAACTTGTTTACGATTTTTTAATACTACGCAACGGATGAATGTTGTGAAATCATTTACAAGTAACACAATAATTACAGAAATTAAGTCATGGTAGGTATGAAGGAAGAAAAATAATGATGACTTCAAAATAACAATTTACCTTAAATGTGTTCCATTCCTCGCGGACGAGGTCGAAGAAGCTGACGGCACTAGCAGCCGCCACCACCGCACATAATACCAGTAAAATCTTCATTGTTAACCCTAGGAAATAAACATTATTTATATACTGAATAAAAATAATGAACAGTCTTGCGTGTTGTTTTTAAGGATTACTCAATAATTGCTTAAATAAAGCACTGTTCGTTGTTATGCGCAGGTAGGTTAAAGGAATCGTTATAATTATTTTTTCATTACTTTTATGTTGTTATAAAAGAAATAAATTGGTCATGATTGTCGTGAAACTTATTATTATTAAATTGTAAATATAAAAAACATCTCGGCCGTTTTCTAATGACAAACAAAGAAACAGGAAGCGAAGTTGATTGTTAAATCCGTCGATACGTAAGAAGCGTTTTACAATTAATATAATGTAAAAAAAATTAGTTACTTACTTTTTGTCCCTCTTTTTCGTTTATTTGTATTTAATGCGTACAATAAAAAAATTAAACGCACTAAGAAGACGCGGATTAAATAACTTTGTTACGTGTTGATATTAATCGACTGCGAAAAAACGAATGACTTGAACTTTATATGTTGAGTCTCTCAGTCCTCAGAGAACGCCCCACTTCCCCCACTACTTACAATCTTAAAATCGATTCGTGGGTTATCGATAACAATACAATGGAATCGGTATCAAAATTTTGAAAAATTTTCTTTTTCTTTCAACAATTAAGATGAAAAATCAACGCATCTTTTATAAAAAATATAAAATGTTTTGCACAGAATAGACATATTATAAAATTATTCCATAAAATTGTAATATCGGAGAGTAGTCGAATCAGTAAAAATAAATGACGTCGAAAATTATAAACTGTAACAATTAAAATTATGTAATATATCATTTAATATAACATTAACAGTAATTACATAAATTTCTTTTTTCTTACAGTTTCTATAATTGTTGTTTTTTACAAAAATCATCAATTAAAATAAAAAATGCAAAAATTAAAATTTAAGTACAATTTAAAAAAAAAACCTTAGAACGTTTTTGATTTATATTGAGTAAATTAAATAGCTAATTTCTGATTCGACTTTATCTGTCAGAATGAGAATAAACTGTCAATGTCATAACAAACCAACGTGCGTAATGGATTGAGATTCATTTGAAAAATATTATAATATAATGACGAAAGACGAGAAAACTGGAAATATGACTGAAAAAAAGAAAAAACATCATGTTTTTAAACATAAAAAGAAAAAGCGAGCGGAGGAAGACTCGGCCATTCAATATTTACAGTCGCAGTACAGCACGGTATATAATCTTTAAAACTTAACAAGTAAATAAGTTAATACTACTGTTATAAAGCTGGTTATATATTAAACATTTTTTTTTTCAGATTAATCCAGAAGAAATCAAAACCTTCAAGGATTTACCGCTGTCACAAAAAACATTGAAAGGTTTAAAAGACAACAACTATATTACACCAACAGATATTCAGAGACAGGCAATAGGTTACGCTCTGCAAGGAAAGGACATTTTAGGCGCCGCTAAGACAGGCTCAGGAAAAACATTAGCATTCCTTGTACCTATACTAGAACTACTGTTTTGTAAGAAATGGACCAGACTAGACGGGGTAGGCGCTTTAGTCATATCTCCGACTAGAGAACTGGCGTATCAAATTTATGAAACACTCAGAAAAGTGGGTCACTTACATGATTTCTCAGCCGGCCTGATTATCGGGGGACAGAATCTAAAATTTGAAAGGAAGAGAATGGATCAAATCAATATTCTTATATGCACACCGGGTCGACTTCTACAACATATGGATGAGAACCCATTGTTTGACTGCAGCCAGCTACAGATATTGGTTTTAGACGAAGCTGACCGTTGCCTTGACATGGGTTTTCAAACTACAATGAATGCTATTATTGAAAATTTGCCTCCAAAACGACAAACCTTACTGTTTTCAGCTACACAGACAAAGTCTGTTAAAGACTTGGCTCGGTTGAGTTTATCATTTCCGACGTATGTCGCTCCTCACGAGCAGGCCAGTACTGTTACTCCGGAGTCTTTACAGCAAAGTTATATTGTGTGTGAGATTGATGAGAAGCTTGGCATCTTGTGGTCTTTTATAAGGAATCATTTAAAACAAAAAGTTTTAGTGTTCATGGCCACATGCAAGCAAGTCAAGTACACTTATGATTTATTCTGCAAACTTAGGCCAGGTGTTAGTCTCCTGGCTCTGTATGGGACATTACATCAAGAAAAAAGAGAGAAGATATATGAAGAATTTTGTAGGAAATCAAATGTAGTACTGTTTGCAACCGATCTAGCTTCAAGAGGTTTAGACTTCCCTAGAGTCAACTGGGTGTTACAGTTTGATTGCCCTGAAAATGTAGACACATACATACATAGAGCTGGTCGCACGGCTCGTGGAGTGTTTGGCAAAGGAGAAGGTCTTTTAATGTTGCTGCCTCACGAAGAGAAGATTGTTGAAGACCTGACAAAAAGTAAAATACCAATTAAAAAGATTTCTGTTGATCCATCTAAATTACAATCTCCTCAAAGGAAGATAGAAAGTCTTCTCTCTGATAATACAGAATTAAAACAAACTGCACAAAGAGCATTTGTCAGCTATGTAAAATCTGTATTTGTTATGAAAAACAAAGATATATTTAATGTTCAACTTCTTGACACTGATGCGTATGCGAGGTCATTGGGTCTTATAAATCCACCTAGAATAAAGTTCATGCACAAATACAACAAACCTACTACACCTGCAAATGGGACTGATAGCAACACTACGGACATCATTGAAAAACTTGAAGCAAAGTCCGTTGAAAATAAAGAATCTGATCAGAGTGACTCTGAAAAAGAAGATGAGCTGAAACCCATAAGCAAAGCTAAAGTGAAAAAGGAACTTCCCAAATTCAACTTTCATGATGATAATGGTGACAGTGATGAAGAAAGCTTCCTACAGGTGAAGAAGAAAAATGTTGATGTTGACATCACCATACCGCAAACGGAAGAAACAACAACATCAAAGAAGAAAACAAAGCCTTTGACTAAAGCGGCCGTCGCCAAGAAAATACTTAAAAAGAAAATCAAAGTCAACACAACGGTCAAGTTCACAGAGGACGGGGAAGCAATAGACGATGACAAGAAAGATGTTAAGTCAGAACTAGCTAAGCAGTTTGTAAATGAAAATGTTGGCGGAATAGACATTGAGAAAGCTAAAGAAGTACTCCGAGAGGAAGACAAGTATGACAAACAGAGATTCAGAGAAAAAGTTAAAGCCAAGCACAAAGAACAGAAAAGAAAACTTAAGAATAAGAAAAAAGAAGAGGAGGAAGGAGAAAAAGATGAGTTTGGATCAGGTTCAGAATCTGAAGGACCAGATCTATCATGGCTGCCAGACCCTGACAAAGTATATGACAGAAATAATGAACAACAGTCCGAGTCTGATGAACATTCAGATGATCATGATCATGGTGATGATCGTGATGATGATGAAGATGATGATGACAGTGAACTATCTGAATCAGAACAAAAATATCACAGGTAGGGTTAAAATAAAGTACAACTAAATAAATTTAACTAGACTTGTAAAATTTCGTCATTTAAGATGGTATAAATAGTTAGGTGAAAAGAGATATACCAAAAAAAAAAAATTAATGATGATTTACAGAGGATATTGAAACAAAAAATGCATAGCTATATAAGTCAGTGTTTAATAAATTGAAGTTCAATAATCTACTAAAATGTTAAACAATAAATAATTTGAAACATTACATGCAATAGTCATCACAGTTTAAAATTTATCAAAATCGTAAGAATAATGTATGTCGTTGATTCGTTGTCATGGGTTTGATTCCTTACATATTTCAGCCTGTGTACTTAAATTCATTATTACTAAAATAATTATAATAACCTTTTTCAGGCCAACAAAGAGGAAACTGGTGGAGAGTAAAGGCATACCCCAAGAGAGTATAAACCCTCGAAAAATCAAAAAGATTGAAGATGTGGCGGCTAGTCTTTCAGTACAAGAAGCAGAAGCCCTCGCCATGCAGTTGTTGAAGTCGAAATGATTATAATATACTTCAAATATTAAAAATAAAGAATTTAATAATTTATTTCGACCTATCCAATGCCCATTCTATATTTACTATTTATAAAAAAATATTATTTGAAAGTATTAACTAATCTTTTCTTTACAAATCAGATTAGTATAATCAATTATTGACGTATCTACTTAAAATTAACTTATTGAAATATGTAAGTCTAAGTAGCAAGTGACTGCTACTTATTTTATTGGTTAAAGTTAAGATAATATTTGAAGAGATCTGAATTTCGAAATAATAGAATGAGTTGATAACAAACTGACAAATAATATACGTACACTCATTTCTCTCAACTCTCACAAAAATGTTTTCCATATCAATACTCAAGTTCAGTTTTAAGTTAGTGATAGAACAAAAGAAGAACATAATTACTAAATGTATCTTTACTGTTATGTGTGACTATATTTAGGTAATCATTTTGAGTTGTTGAAGTTTCTCAAATTATTAATTTATATGTGGCAACGATACGCCTACCTGTCTTGTTTGTCGCTTCTCTGTGTTGATGACTGTCTGTGGTTGTCAGATCGAAACGGATCGTTGTACTACAGAAAGCTGAATTCTATAAAATTAATGATTTTATATGGATCTAGAATAATTAAACGCTTTGTACTTATTAATTTTAATTATGTTCTGGAGCGGTAATTACATAGCGAATAGGGAGTTAAAGTTACTCCTGGAGGAGAAGGTGCGTATTTCTTAAAATGCGATTGGTGGTTATAAGTGCCTAATTTATTGAATTTAACAGTGATTTTAATTACTCTGTGATTTCCTACTTCAATAAGCTCTGTTCCGGGTTTTGTTGATTACAAGCAGAGGTTTCACATTCTTATCAACCAGTTGTTTTGTTGTAGAACGTAACGTTGACACAAGTTCTTGAAGCCGATGATATTTTACAAGAATGCAAGGCAGACAACCAGGCTCTGGGACAATTGTAAGTTTTAGTATATATAAATAATGTAGAAACGAAATTATCTAGAATTTTTTGGTTTAACTCAAAGATCCTTTCCAAACTCTTAAGTATAAACTTTCAAAGTTTTCAAAATTTAATATAAAGGATTAAAAAAAATACTCTTATATCTTCTTTCATACTTAAATTCTGTATATTAGAACTTAATGTTGTTTAAAATAGAAATTTATGTAGAACCATTATTTATATTCACAGTTTAACCAGACCAGATATTTTGGCAGAGCTTATAACTCTGATAACGGAAGAACCTCCCAAGGATGTAAAGTTGTCACAACAGTATCGTCATGCAAACATAGCAAGTGAGGTGCTGACCAGTAATCTATCTCTGTTGAGAGCTCGGCTGTCCTCTAACGCGGCCCAGATGAATCGTCTGTGTGACTTTGTCAGTAGGGAGCCACCCTTGAATCCACTGTTAGCTTCATATTTCAGTAAAACAATAGAGATGTTGTTTGAGAGGAGTCCAGTTATGGTATGTATGCCGTGATAGGATCAAGATTCAGGAAAATGTCAACATTTTTATAGTTATGATAATTTTAGGATTGGTATCTACACCACATAGTTTGTCTCAGAGTTCTAGACTTCTTTAAATCCCGACGGGACTTCCTGCCCAACTTGTTGAAGCACATTTCAACATCCGCCATATGTGATACGTTCAGGTGTTTCCTGCAGACATTTAAGGACAACAAGATCATATTAGAGGCAAGTGTGTTCTGTTTATAATGAATACATGATAACTGCAGTGTACTGATGTGTGTGACATGTAATATGAGATATGTTAATTCAATTAACAGATAAGATTAAACTATATAATATTATTCATGAATTATTTGTGAGTTGCAAAAAAAAAAGTGTTTTTCTAAATATGTTTCTGTATATTGTTGCTTTTCCTACAACTTTTATCACATTATTCATTCTTTAATAAACTAGTTTATAATTTGACCATATCATGTTTAAAAAAATAATTTATGAATACTATAACTTTAACGATGAACATATTTTTAATGTATTGAAACAGGTTTCTCTGAGTCTGTTAGAACTAAAAAAATTTAAAGTTGTGTATCTGTGTTATGTTAACTTGAGGGACTTTGTTATTTAACTATTAGTATATTGATTCTAAGTGTGTCCTTACCTAACAATGGTTATATAAGTTTCTAATAAAGTTATAATTGATTACAATTATAACTTTATTAGAAACTAAAATAATCATTAGATTATTTTCAAATTGTTCAGATTTTCATATAATGTGTATCCTTTTCAGTGGCTGGACGAGTATCAGTTCTTGGATTGTTTAATTCAAATAATCTGCGGCACATATGACCCAGAGGAACGGCATCCAGCTCTCGTGGAGACCGAGGAGAAAGCCAGCAATGAATCAAACGAGAAGTTGGACACTAACCATAACAGTGAACTGGAGAAAGATGACCCAGGTATATACTAGGATATTTTTACAAGAAATTACATATCCCTAATTCCCTACTAATATAAATGCGAAAGTCCCTCTGTGTGTCTGTCTGTCTGTTACGCTTTACCACTGAACTGATTTAAATGAAATTTGGTACAGAGGCAAAGTTGACTTTGAAAGAACATAGGATAGTTTTTATCTCAGGCTTTTGAAAAGTTCTCTTGGAAACGCGGTATAATCGAACTCCACGCGGGCGGAAAGCTAGTGTATTATAATGATGGATAACATTTTTCCTTCTACCCATTTCAATTATAGTAAGTTTTTTCGAATACCTATGCGATTTTTACCTATCTATTTTTATTGTTAGATTGCCCGATTCGATATGTTTTGGCTGCTAAAAAGCAATCGAAATGTACATGCGAAAATGTTATGATAGAATAAAAATTGCATTGGTATAGAAAAACTTAGTGTCGGGTAAATATTTCAGTACGAGAGATATAGTGTTACATCGTGATGAGGATTTCGTTCATATCTTGGATTTAATGTTTTGCCAGTGGTAGATAATAAAGGTGCGGAGACGAATGGCGAGAGGGAGGAGGTGGCGGGTGGCAGCGGGCCCGACGCGGACCTCGAAGGCCTATCGGCAGACGGGCCCGGGAAGGAGGAGCGCGCGAGGAGGATCCGGGCCGTCGCAGCCTCCAACGCCGCAGCCCTACTATGTGACATCGCCCTGGAGTGCGCGCTGGACCCCTGCAACAACTACTTCGGGAAATGGTACGACCAATTGTTATATATATAAAAAAAACCCGCTGAGTTTCTTTCGCCGGTTCTTCTCAGGTCAGGGTATTTTCCGAACCGGTGGTAGTGTCTCAAGTGACCATCAATAAGAAAGTAATGCTTCTGAATATTGAATACAGTTATTTGAGTTTAAGTGTTGGAAACGAATTATGTTATGGGCAGTGGCGGCTGTACCTTAAGTGCACTCGTGCGCTGAACCACCAATTCAAAAGATTTAAAAATTACAAAATATTACTTCATCTTTATTTTTAAATTACCATTTTAATATTTATTTTTTAAACATACAAAAACGTATAAAAAATAAAATTTCCAATTATGGTCAAAGAGTTTGAGCGCTTTACTAAACTAATATCTCGTGCGCTTCGGCGAGTGCACGAGGACTGCTAATACATGTTGTATGAGATACGCATTAATATGCCTGACGCGTGAGACAAAAGATAGTTCATAGAAATGTACCGAGTAATGAGTCGATTTTCGAGCGCCGCACGAGCGGCCGAAGATTACCGAGAGCACCCGATGTATGACGAATCGGAATTGAAAAGAATCAAAACATTTCTCCGAAATACCATGCACTTGCTAAATGCACTTTCTGTTCCTAGTATGGAATTTAAAAAATATACAAACAATACCCGATTTTAATAAATAGGTGATTGAACATTTCGCTTTGGAAAAATGTTGTTGCATTAATAATTAATGTATAAAAAATAAACATATTTTATATCAATTGTTGTTTTGTTGCATTTTCTAATTTTAATATTTTAGTAAAGTGCACCACCAGTTCGATAATCCACCGGCCGCCACTGGTTATGGGTATATATATTATAAGCAGAATGTGTCGTAGTTGTATATGAAGGTGATGTAAGTATGTCGGGCAGGTCCGCCAGGTGGGGCGTGGGTCACGAGCTGGCTGTCCGTCTCCGCAGCGAGGAGACCGTGCGGCGCGTGCTGCAGGGCTGCTTCACGAGCCCCCCGGAGGCCCGGCGCTCCGCCATCGTGCACGCCTGCCGCCTGCTGCTGGCGCTGCTGCACCGGGACCCGCCCGCAGATCCCGCGCCCGTGTTAGTACTCACACACACACGCACACACACAGACACACACACACGCACACAAAATCGTGTTGTCAATATATTGTGTTATAAATATACACAAATTGTGTTCAATTTATTAGAAATAAAAAGAAAACTTAATTTGCAATGTTATAGAAAAGCTGGAGGCAAAATCTAAAATCTAAAAACACTAAATGAAATTTTAATTCACTTTATTAATAATAACAAGGAAATAGTTGAAACTGACAAAACAGATGACGTTACTATGGATACAAGAAATCAGGGCTGTGATTGGACAATTGAGTTTTGACAATGCCATTAACATTAAACGGACCTCCAGGGCAGGAATTAATATTAGTGGCTGGTTAAGACATTTAAACGGACATTTGTGCGTGGTGGGACGCTCGATACATCTAACAGAGCATCAAACGCCCTAACACGATGTTACTTATTTAACAATGATTGTTGAAACTGGGTCTTAGTGTACATAATTGTTTCGTTCCCAGTGTGGAGGCCGTGCCCCCGGAGGGCGTAGAGGGCGGGCCTGCGCCCCCGAGCCGCACGGAGGCCGACTATGGTGAGGTGGAGCGGGCCATCGCTCCTCACCTGCCGCTGCTGCATCACGCGCTGCTGAAGGACGCCCACGACGACGGGGAGAGACCCACGGTTAATATACACCCCATACACCACTGTCCGCTTAGCATGAGCAGTCCGTGCTGCATCATATACTCATATCTAGGGCCTGGATAAATATGCATTAAAAAAATCTTAAATATGTACATAAAATATGGACGAAAAAACCAAAAATATGGAAAAAATATGGAGTATAAACTAAAATACTTTCATAATTAAACATTGTTTTACTATAAGAAAAGGGTCACTCGTGACGTACATCGTTAAGTTACATTTAAAAAACGATAAAACAATAGCGAAATATTTATTTGAACAAAAAATATCAGTTTTATTCAACTTCCATTACACTAGCCTTATCAAATTGGTTGCAATACACAATGACGTGCTTCTTTAAATTATCAAAATGAAAACTGACCATTTGGTTGAAATATAGCCTTATATCTGCTGAATGATCTCTCCACGTCACATGACGTCACGGATGCATACTTAAACATTCTTAATTCAGTAATTGTGTAAGCCATGTCTACACCCCTCGAAACTTTCGCACAAAATTTTGTTAATTTTTTTTAGCGTATTAAATCCTTTATTTTTATCCAAAATATTAGTGGCGGGAACGTAAGTTTTATGTATTTTTGTGAATATATGGATGATTGTGACATTTTCTTGTAAAATATGGACTTGACTTTGAAATATAGTAAAATATGGAAAATAAAATTTGCTTTTCACAGTCTAAATATGACAGTCCATGTAAAAAACACATTCCAGACCGAAAATCGCGTAAATTAAAAATATGTATTTACATATTAATCCGGGTCCTACTCATATCATATACTCCTAAGTCCTCTAATGTGTTCCAGGAGCAGCAGACCCCGTCCAGTGAGTCCCCCCGCCCGCCCCTCGTCCGTGGCGGCGTGGTGGGCTCTGCCCGCGTGCACGTGGCGGCGCTGGTGGCGCGGCTCGCTCTCTCCGACGTGGACGACGTGCCCACCGCACTCATCTCGCTCGGTATCAACGTCTAACTACTACTGTTACAATCAATCATACTTCATTCAAAACACTCACGGATGTCACAGAAGCAGTGCTGTAACTAGCCTTTTACCCGGTGCGAGCTTTCGAAACTGCGCCCCTGAAATATGATTTAACCAGGCTCTAAAAATAAAATGGACAAATGTGCACACAAATAAATCTATCTATTTATTGTTTAACAAAGTATATAAGTATATAGCTACTATGCTTAAGATAAAATTAGATACTAGTCTGGTCATTTCTGCGTTCTGTGCCTGGGCACTGCTAGCACTGCCCTAGTTACGGCACTGCACAGAAGATATTCCTTTAGCTCTAATAGTTTCTGTCGACGTAAAAATATTTAACTGTAGAATATGATAAAGGAACACTAATTGATCTATAATACAAGAGAGTATTATTGAGGCATGACGTCATCGTCCAAGTTATAGTGACGTCACGAGACATTTATTCCGGTTACAGGCACGGCGGGGGTGTTGGTGGAGCTGTGCCTGTCGTGTCCTCACAACAACTTCCTCCACGCTCAGCTCGTGGCCTTCGTGAGGAACGCGAGAAGCAACCAGAGGTTCGCCGACAGATACAACAAGCACGTATGTACCATACAGCATACACACACACACACACACACACACACACACACACACACACAAGTAAACAGGCAGAAATACACACACACACACACACATAGGTTACGTAAGCGTAGATGAGGTATAATTTCATAGTATGTACTTGCATGGTAAAAAATGCTGATGTTGAACCATCAGTGGTGATGGGCCTTAATATACTGTGCCTACGTATTATCTTTTATTAATGTATATAAATACATATAAATATTAAGCAAAAATCACTGTCCATAATGCCACCTAGAAGCAAGTCGATATTCGATATGCTACATTGTCAATTTAATACATTATTATAATATGTTCTGTCGCGGAGTCGCCATTCTACCATCGAACTGTAATGTCGTCATAACAATTAAATATTGTAAATTATATGTATTACAATACATATATCTATACTCAATTGCCTTTCATTACATCATCCACGAGACACATAAGGCAAAATACATTCTGTTTGGAGTCAGCCGTTGACTTTAATTGTAACTTAAATATATTTCTTTAAGGTAAACAGATTTTTTTGTATCCTGAGCCGACACCAAACGTAACTCACAGAAACTCATACACAGACAAAATTACACAACATTTTTTTAACAGAAATATCATTCATAAAAATTGTATCAGTATCCTAAAATGTCTTTATATGTATGTACACTAGCTTTCGCGTTATATCGTGTTTCCAAGAGAACCTTTCAAAAATCTGGGATAAAAACTATCCTATGTTCTTACTCAAGGTCAACTCTGTCTGTACCAAATTTCATTAAAATCAGTTCAGTGGTTTAGGCGTGAAAGCGTAACACACAGACAGAGTTACTTTCGTATTTATATTATTAGTAGGGATGTATCAACTAAACTAATATTATAAAGAGGTAATATTTTTTTGTTTGTTTGTTACGAATAGGCTCAAAAACTACTGGACCGATTTTAAATTTTTTTTCACCATTATGATTGTACATCTTTCCAAAGTAACATAGGCTATATTTTATTTTGAAAAAAATAAGGGATCCTTGCGATAATTTTGATAACATAAACCACGGTCGATAAAAATCACTATTGACATACCTTAAATCGCGTGCGCTGCAATAACTATTGATGATGGAGCAATATAATGTACTACGATTTTGTTGACCGCATTATTATCTACAGAAAAGTCCGCGGTAGTGTATATCTAAGTATTATAGTTACGCCAATACAGAAACTTTTATAGTTTAACAAACTATTTAAAACGGCAACGAAAATAAGATGTCGATATTCATACCATGCTATTTATACTTATCTAAATAACTTACTTTTTATTTAACAGTAGTTCAATTACCTTTATATTTCTGTTTAAATTATTTTAATCGGATACTCCATTCAAAAGATATAGCGAGTTTAAAAATTTGGGTAACTTAAAAATTAACTAAGCGTTTCGCTGCATAGCGTTGCGATGTTGATTGTGCGTAGTGATAAATAACTCCGATACAAAACCAACTCGACCATTCCGAAAAACCCGCAAGAACGGGAACTATGTGGGAAGAACCAAAAATCTGCTGGAAGACACTATTCCACGCGGACGAAGTCGCGGGCATCTTCTTTTATATAAAAATGGATTGCTGTTCCTTAGTCTCGCTAAAACTCGAGAACAGCTGAACGGATTTATCTTAGTCTTGAAATGTTCGTGGAGGTTCAGGGAAGGTTTAAAAGCTGAAAAAAATTTAATCTTCTCCAGGAAACCCTAAAACAGCCCTTTTCTATTTCCCATACAAAAGTTTTTTTGACATTAGATTTGATAACTAACTAATATGTCAATCATTCTGTTCAATTGAAACAGGAAAAAATTAATAATACCTGGTTATTTAAGACGGAATAGAGTTCGCCCTATACATATAGATATGTATTACTAATGACGAAATTAATGCGGACGAAGTCGCGGGCAAAAACTACTACTATAAAATTAAACATTCAACACAAACAGAGTATTTAACACGAGGTCTGTTCGTTTACAGCTGATAGAGGAGTGTGATCTGCTGACGAGGCTCATGGACGTGTTCGAGGACAATGAGACTGGCAGGTGAGACGCGGAGAGAGAGAAAAGGATAGAAAACATGTTTTTTTTTGGTTTTTACGTCGGTTGATACTGTCATTGCGTGGTCACAAGGGAGACAGCTGAAAATCAGCAGAGAGTAAAAACCCTCCTAGCCTGAGCTGTCTCCTTTTGACTGCACACAAGTGTTATGTGAATTATATTCATTTTCTTTATTTTTGTATTATTGTTTTTTATGTATAATTTTGTTTTTTTTTCTTTGTGTGTATGTCAATGAATGTCTTTTCTTTTCTTTTCAAAACGTGTCATAGCTTGGTCTTGTATATTAAGACGGTTCATCCCCCCCAGATGTTCCCCCCGCGCTGGTTACATGGGCCACGTGGTGTTGGTGCTCCGTGAGCTGCTGTCCCCGCCGCCCGCGCTGCCCCCCGGCCCGCTGCAGCAGCGCTGGTCGTCCTTCATTCAGCACAAGCTGCTGCCGTTGCTGCAGATCTACGATTCGCCTCTCGTCAGTATACAGACCTTATATTCTCCGTAATAAATACTATTAATATCATTATATCGTGTCAACCGATCCCACTAATCGTTGTCATCGTTCAGGGCGGCGTGTATCCCGGGAGAGACATGCAGGAGGTTAGTGTGACGTTATATTTGAGGAGTTACAAGTCATCGGATTACTCATTAATTAAAAATTTAATTTCCAGGCGGAGGCTAGCTTCGACACACAGGGCGACACGTACGACGTGAGTATAGACTCTATATATATATATATATATATATATATATATATAGTGACGACATGTGTTATGGTAGGATGTATGGAGTATTCACACACTATTTTCTTCACAGATGTCGGAGCCCGCGGCACACATCGATGAGGATGATAGCGACCATCAAGTGGTGAGTGACCGATATCACCCATAGAACTGACTAACTGAACGTTTACGAGATGTTTTTTTATTTGAATGGCACATCAACAGTACATACATTAAACACTTAAAACTAAACATTTAAAACTGACACTTATCTGATGTATGTACCAATTATAGACGTACACAGCACTGCTGAAGATTACTGTCTATCTGCTTAATAATAATACTTATTGATTACAAAAATATTATAAAAAATAAAGATAACAAAGAGGAAAGAATATCACAAAACAATCAAGATGGTGTTCATGTGTAGAATAAGAGTGGAGTGTGACTGATGAGGTCGTTATATGTTTCAGATGGACAGCGCCAAGAACAACTTCCTCGAGCTAGCCGGACAGAGGTTCGATGAGAAGTAAGTTATATACAAGTAGTGTTCAGACCGCGACTACTGTGCTATGATTAGAGACGAATTAATGAGTTAACTTAATATAATATGATCCGACCGACCGACGGCCACGTCTGTCGGCCGAGCAACGAATTTATACATAACTAGAAAACCCGGCGAACTTCGTATCGCCCTATAATCAAGAAATATCTGTTACGTTTTTTTATTTATATTTTTGGAGTTTGCCTATTAAAGCCATAAATCTCCGTGTTTTGAAGTGTGACAGAATGATTGACATATTAGTTAGTTGTCAAATCTAATGTCAAAAAAAAAAGTTTGTATCAACAACTACTAATAAATTAAAAATTAATTAAAAAAACATTGTCCAGCTGATAAAATTGTGAATCTAAACCATTCAAAGATCCCCTTGAACACACACAAAAACATTCATCAAAATCGTTTGAGAGAAGTTCAGTGACATACACACTCACAGAAGAATTATATATATAAAGATATGAAGTGTACTCGTGAAAACTATACGGAGTGAAACTATTACAACTAACTGTTACTGTGATATCTGTGGCCTATACAACTCTAGACTTGAAAATACTGATTAAGGCACCTTCAGAATAATGTTCGTGAAAAAGCGACGAACATCCAGACATCGTTTTTTTTTTACAATTCCTTTAAAATCATTCCGTTTCTAAAAATCTAGTGCGCAATTAATTGTTGAGGAATCGCTGACTCTAATATCACAATTTACAGGGTGTATGAAAAACTGTGTCAACCCTTGAAGGCATGTATACATATAAGTATAAGCTTATTATAAAAAATAGTATAACTTAAAAAATATCAGTTACAGTGCATAGGCAAAATAAATTTTAAATCGACATTATTTGAATAAATGTTCCAAACATCTGACCCGTACAAGGTCAAGGCCCCGTATAGTCGCAACGACGCATGTGTGACCATTGACCGCAGGTGACGGGCCGCCGGCGTTATTATTACTTTTTTGTTAGTTGTTCGAATAGAGATTTGAAAGTGTAAAAATTAGTTATATCGATAAATATTCTATCGACATTTTCAATATTGCTACAAATAGTTATGCTTTTCACATTAAAATAATTTCATTTAAAATAACTTTTATTAATAATAAATATTATAATTTGAAACTTGTTCAGGTAAATTAACTACATAATATGTTGTATTATTAGGATAAATCGTTAATCTATTTTTGTTAAAAATGGTGTTTTACAATCAAACATAATATTAATGTTTGATATATCAAAATAAGTATCGAAATAATATGAATATTAAATATTTATTTATTGTTATGATTTTTTAAATATCGATATTTTCAATAATGTGAAAGTAACTTCAAGGTCGTCACTAGTAGCGCAGCAGCTGTGATGATGTCATTGCGTGTCATCGTGTTATACCAGGGTTTACAAACATTTTGTTACTCTACATATAAAAAACATATAATATTTAATTTTATTATTTTTATTGAAGAGTTTGTAAATGTAAGTTGTTTTATTGTGTTACATTATCGATACTGATAACGTAGTTAAGAGGGTTGACACAGTTTTTCATACGCCCTGTATATTCGTTTTAGAGTCAGAGGTATACTACAAAAGATGACAATGTAATAACCCTAGATTTAGTTATGAAGCTAAAAACAAATTATGTACATTATTTCATGGGTGTTAATAAATTATTATTATTATAGTTTAGTATTTATATGAGTGGGAGGTGAGTCGACTCTTATAGTTGTTGACTAAACATTATAATTGTAGCATGTGGGACGACGAGCCAGACGACGAGGCCTTGGAGGCCGGGGAGGCCGGGGACCTCGAGCACGTGGAGGAGGCCCAGCGGGTCCTGGGACAGGCCTCACGTACGTACACACGCGCGGGATGATTAATATACATACGACGGACTAGCTTTAGTGTTGGGCGATACATAACCACTGTGAACATTCTGATCACAAAAATTCTTTAAAAAAGGAGATTTGTATAATTAGTTGGTTTGTTATTCCAGCGTGGGAGGAGGCTGCGGGCGCGGCGTGCGGCAGCTCCGGGGACGGCGGCGGAGCGGGCGAGGGCTGGGCCAGCTTCGACACGGCCTTCACTGGAGGAGACCCCTTCTGGGGCGCGCCGCACGGTAACTCATCACACACCATGAACACTGACATATAAACATGTCCAATATTAATCACTAACACTACATTCACCTCCACTGTATTATTAAACAGATATTTTTCTTCCAGTTCTCCGTTATCTCCCAATACTAAATTATCAACTATTTCTGAGATTGAATCCATGGCATCTCTTCCTTTTAACGACTTAGTCCTTTCTCCAGTGTCTGATGAAGAAATTCGTAAAATAATCATTTCTATAACATCTAATGCTACTGGTGTCGATAGTATCAATCGACCTATGATCTTACCTATTCTGGACTATGTACTGTCGGCTATTACTCATATTGTAAACTTTTCCATTTCATCTGGAGAATTCCCTTCCTTGTGGCGTAAAGCTTATATCATTCCACTTCCTAAAGTTCCCAATCCTTCCCAACTAAATAATTTCAGACCTATTTCTATTCTTCCGTTTCTATCGAAAATTGTGGAGTTGTGTGTTTACAAGCAAGTCTCTTCCTTTGTTTACAATAATAATATTCTCACCTCATATCAGTCTGGCTTCCGACCAGGCCATAGCACAGCTACCGCTCTTCTCAAAGTATCTGAGGATATTCGGGTTGGCATGGAGAATAGAATGATCACCATTTTGGTCTTAATTAATTTTTCCAATGCTTTTAACATGGTTGATCATGATATCGTCCTGGCCATATTCAAGCATTTAAAATTTTCTTCATCAGCTCTGGGATGGTTCTGCGCTTTTCTTCGCGGCGGCCAGCAACCGGTTAGGCTGAATCAGTCCCTCTCCGAGTGGCTTCATCTTTCTGCTGGCATTCCGCAAGGTGGCACTTTATCTCCTATTATTTTTTCTCTTTTTATGAATTTCCTTTCATTTCATCTCGACTGTTCTTATCATTTTTACGCCGACGATTTGCAACTATACTCTAATTCCGAGATAGACAATATCGAAACTGCTATACATAAAATAAATCAAAATCTTTCTTACGTTTACAACTGGTCTAATAAATTTGGCATAGTAGTTAATCCTACTAAGTGTCCGGCGATCATTGTTGGTAGCTCACGTCTCATGTCTAAGTTAAATATTTCCTCTTTGTCACCTATCGTTTTTAACAATACGACTATTCCATACTTCCACCACGTTAAAGATCTTGGACTTCATATTGATTCCACATTAAGTTGGAATGTGCATATTTCTGAAATTAGTCGTCTGTCACTGCCACGTTAAGGTGCCTTAATCGTTTAAGAATTTTTTTACCTATTAAAACTAAAATCTTACTTGTACAAGCCCTTATATTTCCTATTATAGATTACGCTGATGTGTGTTATCCTGATCTCAATGAAACCCTATTGAACAAACTTGACCGTCTCCTAAATAACTCCTTACGTTTTATCTTTTGTCTTCGAAAATTTGACCACATTTCTCATTGTCGAGCAGAGCTCAAATGGCTTCCCATCCGCCAACGCTGAGAATTACGTCTATTGTGTTTTCTTTTCTCCATTCTTTTTGATCCCCAATCTCCTCTTTACTTAAAAGATAATTTTAAATTTCTCTGTGACAATCATGATCGACAGCTACACTCTAATGACTCTCTCCTCCTCTCTTTTCCCAGCCACCACTCTGGTTTCCTCTCTAACTCCTTCTCTCTAAAATCTATCAGACTGTGGAATAAACTTCCACTAGAAATAAGAAAGGCACCTACAAGGGCAATTTTCAGGCATCGTTTACAGGAACATTTTACTCAGAATCTGTATTAAGTCTCTGTTTTATTATTGTTTTTGGTATATATTGTATATCTATTGGTATGTGTGTATGTATATGTATGTGTATGTGTATGTATATGTATGTGTATGTATATGTATCTATATATGTATGTATATATATTATTTATATATTAATACAAATTTATATGTATATTTTTACTTTTACATATTGCTACCGTCTTCATGTTTTTCTGCTTAGCCTAAGGGTTGACTGGCAGAGAATGCCTTCAGGCATTAAGTCCACCTTTTGTATCTACGTGTGTTAGACAATAAAGTTTTTTAAATAAAAATAAATAAACTAAATAAGTACATCCTCTCCTACTTCCAGACGCGGACAGTTCTTCTTTATCGGACGCGATGCAAAACCTGCGGGTGGCCGACGACGATAAGGACGCGCTCACCATACTGTTGGCGCACAAGATGCTCGCCTTCGCCCACGCCCACGCCCGCGAAGACTTCGCTCACGACGACCACGGAGACTTCGGCGCCCACGACCACATCGACCTGGGTGCCATCAGAGACGAGCTCGGTCTACACCCTGACCACGGAAAAGATTCGAGCGAGCAACACGAGGGGAGCGGCGGGGACCAGACGTCTAGTGCGGTCACGGAAACTACGGGCGCCCACGAGTTTGCCAGCGCCCACGACTCTACTAGCGCCCACGCGTCTCCCGCCGCCCACGACGACCACGTAGCGACCGACGCTGACAGATGATACCTCCCCCTGTTTCCCCCCCTCCGCTACATACACCCGCACTACTACTGACCAGAGAGTTATTTATTTACAACACGTTATTTATTCCCACACGTCCTACACAGAACATGAGTTGGAACACCTCCATTGAGCAGACATATATAGCTTCCTATATAATGTATGACCCGCTGTTAGTGTGTGGGGGGGGGGTGTATCTCAACGGACCTGTATATTCGTCAATCAATTAAACAATTATGAATTCAATTAACGCTATATTTATCTGTGTGTGTGTTTAATTTGCTCAGTATGTCCGCTGGAGGTCTCGCTCCTTGTGGTCGCTCGTTGTATATAACCCGTACTGTGATGTCATGTGTACATAGAGTGTAAATACCGCCGCCCGTCTGTCTGTCCGTGGGTAGTTTGTGTTTTTCATTATAATAGTTGTGTTATCATATCCAGTGATATATCATGTAACATATCTTCAGCCGATGACCCCACACACCTCAAGGCCACCCCGGCCTCGGCTTATTGTTTATGTTTAATGATTAGTTTTTAGATTTGCGTCTTCTTTTAAACTTAACAATGTTTTTTCCTCCACCTTTCTTTGTTGTTTATTTCCCTATCTTCGTCTTCTGTGTTCGTGAACCTCTCCGCTGCATGTTCTATCGTCTCGTCATTCCTCTGCGAGACGTCTGTTATATTTTGTACAAATCTTTTTATGTTCTAGGAGCGAGTAACTTAATATCTTTAATAGTATTAAATGTTTTTATATATTTTGCACAATCGTTCGTCGTGTCGGTGGCGCGTGCGGTGCAATGTTGTTACAGATCCTTATGGTAGTGTTAAGCGTGTGTAACCAAGTCTGTTCGGTGTAGGAGCGGCCTCGTGCTCGTGTCGGTGTGTAGGGTGGCCGTGAGTCGTGTGTCCTCACCCTGTTCTGTGTGAGTGTCGTCCGCGGCGCTCCTCGTGTGGTGCTAGCGTGTACCTTCGTGTTTATTGTTAGGACCAGTGTTGTATCGCGTCTCGAGTCCGGTTCAATTATTTCGTGTAAGTATATTCGATCGTCTTATGATTTGATGAGCCGAGTTCCTAGTTAGACAATTGTACGGAGCTGTGGCCCGCGGTCGTCCGGGTAGTGTTATAGTATTATAGTAGCGGCTGTAATGTTGAATCCTAAACAATTATATTGAGTGCAATCGATTGCCTTTTGTATTGTTGTAAAGTTTTAAAGCAGCGCGCGTGTCCTCGTATAGTAATATATGTATGTTAAGTGTGTTCCGCACTCGTTGATAGAACAATCGTCGGTTGTCCCGTCGCCTCTACGTCACAGTGACCCGCCGACCGATGTCATGTGATTTTTATAACTTTTTGAATATAGATCCGTTTTAGCCAATTATACGATTTTTGTATTGTGATAGCAGCATGTGATGTGTACCGGCGGCGGCCGGCGCCGTCCGCACTTTGGTAGCGCTTACACTTTTATAAAACATTATTTAGATTCATCTGTATTTAGAGCCGCGTCGTCGTTAAGATCAAACTTTATATTTATTTGAGCGTTGTCAGACTCTGCGTGATTCGTGAGTGCACTCTGTAGAGTCTCGCACTCTTTTAGAGTCGTTGCAATCTTATGACTGCTTTCTGTCCGCGTGTAGTCGGCCCACAACTCAACACCGATATCATGTTAGTGTCAGTGTGTCCGTCACGCATGTTGTTACACGTTTTATATAATACTCGAAACATATAAAGCGACAGTTCAAAGTTTATTTAATGTCCTGTAAGTTTAAAATCCGTTTAAATATTTTCTGCGTCGGTACAAATTGTATTTTGGAATATTACGGTTGTTTTTTATTGGTACGTCGCATGCAATAGGTGCATCATGTTGTCATGGTCTCTGGAGCTGTTCTGATGGAAGGATGGTTCGGTATTCTAGTGTCTGTCTCGGTACAAAGCGGTGGTGGTCACGTGGCGAACAGCTCGAGAGTCGATGGCTTCACGTTGAGGTGCGCTGTCGCTAACGAGAACTGTGCCTTGCGGGCGCTCCTCGCCCGAGTCGTAATAAATGCTCGTAATGTATTCTATTGTATTTACTATATCATAGTTTAAAAGTTTATTATAAAAGTTGCTCAATAATATTGATGTTTCATTTCGGTCATGTCCTGCTGAGATCCTCTATACAGTGGCATCAATGTTTAACAGAAATTATTGCCACTGAAGTTTTGGGGATACACAGTTAGTTGTTAAGGTTGAGGCTCGTTTGCATGACACATAAAAAGACATTTTTAGGTTCTGTTTATTAAATAATACAAACTACAGATGCCAGGTGAGGATCTAGATATAACGAGTATGCCGAATTTAAATTGCCTGAGGCTAAAGGAAAATCATTGTTTGTATATACATATTGAACTAATTAGAGTCCTTAATATTGTTTACTAGATGACCCGGCGGATTTACCGCCCTATAATCAAGAAATATCTGTTACCTTTTTATCCGAAAGATGTTCATTTCTTAATTAAGTATAGGTAACCGATCCGACAAACAATGTTCTGTCTTCTAAACTGTGATTATTGAAATATAATTGGTATATTTACAAAACAAAATTATTCCAAAAACAAAGTGCTTACTAACTATTCTGTTTTATTCTAACTAAGTACGTAAATATTACTGCGAGTGACACATTATTTTAATAAAAAAGTGAAATATTCCAGTTCTTTTTTTTTTAGAAATTTTGGGTTTTTTTACATAAGAATCTTCTCCTAATGATAACAAATACAACAAAAAAAGAATTACTGAAATCGTTCCAGCTATTCACGCGTGATGCTGTGACCAAGGAAAAAAGGGATTCATTTTTCTGTATATAGATTATTATCCTACTAATATTATAATTGCGAAAGTTTATGAGTGTGTGTGTATGTTTGTTACTTCTTCACGCTCAAACGGCTGAACGATTTTGATAAAAAAAAATTATACAGGAAGCTGAGGTCCAGGAATAACACATACTTAGGCTATTTTACTTCCCGGAAATCCGCGGGTAACAACGCGGGGCGCAGCTAGTACTATAATAATTACGAAATTAAACTATTAATACAATTAAACACTACCAAAACCTCTCATACCTAAAAATAATAATATATATGTATAAACACTGCCAAAAATTCTAATACCTATTACTTATATAAAATAACAATAAAACAAATCAAAAATATTTCCGTCATACATGATTTCTATATAGCTTTTACCTGTAAGCCTGCACACGCGACGGAAGCTTAAAAAAGGGAGTAACTTCTCCCCCGTTTTCCCAATATTTCCCTTCACTGCTCTGCTCGTATTGATTGTAGCGTAATGAAAAGTATATTATAACCTGCCCAGAAGTATGAGGAATAATAGTTTCAAATTTCGTTAAAATCCGTCGAGTAGTTTTTGTTTCAATAACGAATATACAGACAGACAGACAAAAATTTTACTAATTGCATTTTTGGCATCAGTAGTGATCCCTAACCACCCCTTGACAGTTATTTTTTAAATATATTTTATGTACAGAATTATTATAAGAATAGATTACCTCATTAATTAGTTTGTTTGTGGCTGTCAGACTTCAGAACCTTAAAAGGTTTTGAATTTATTCAGCTACGAAGAGCATAATGTTCCCATTTTGACACTTTCTGCACGCCTTCATCGTAAACTCCCAAAGATCAACTATTCTCTGTCCCTCAACTCTCCTCCAGACAAGTAGCATCAAAAAGCAATGCCCTTATACCGTCACGACATAACAATGATAACAATATCTAAAGCGGAGTCGAGCCTCTCAGAGATACACATGCATCCATCGTATTAAGCCGGATCTCCCGAGCTTAAATTGCAAAGGCAGCTCTAATACAGACCACATACCTACTCTTGACAGTGACGGTGACAACGAAGAAAAGAAGGAAGTTCAGCTCAGAATTCAATATAGTAAAACCTTTTTAGTGTCGGGCTAACCAGGCGTAACCTATATTTATGTGTGATATTTTATTAGAAATTATTAAAATAAAAGAAATAAGGTTAATAGGATTGAAATACATTATTAATAAAAAGTTAAAGGCTTTCAATACAGTGGTCTTGGCATTTCATTCGAAGTTTTTCAACAAGTTATTAATGTTTACTAAAAAAAAGTCATTAAAAGAAGAAAAATTTGGAAATCCCAACATCGATGATAGGTCGTACAACCTGTAGGTGTATTGAGAGTACCCTCTATGTGTGTCTGCTAAACATGGGCAGTGGCATGCACACCATAGATGCAAATAAGCACTGCATAACTCTCAGGGGCGGATCTTGGACTTCTGGGGCCCTGGGCTAATACTGCTTAGGGCTCTGCCTCATTACTTAACTAATTGCCATTTTGACAAGAAACTATTTTCTGTAGTGATTTAGGTATATGCAATGTAATGTATGTAAAGTACAGGAAGAAAATAGGAAAATAAAATATTTTATTTATTTATGAAAACATTACTTATTGCATTATAAATTGAAATTTTATATATATGGTTATGTTATTTAAATTAAAAAGCAACCTTTCTGCATTTTTGTGCTGCGAATTCTTATATTTAGTCATCGCGCACTGTAGGTCCTTTTGTTAAATCGGAATTGTTGATTGTATGAAAAAAAAAAACAAAAATTGTAGAGAATTTTACACTCTACAACTTTCGTTATGGGTAAAAATATCATGTAAGCAATAGAAAGCGAGATATTCGCGAAAAACCAATTTTTATGACCTTTGACCTTCAATATCTTAGGACGCGGACACGATATCATTTGTGACTTTTGAGACGACGTTTAGATTTTAGAACAACAAAACAAAGGTTTATATCAATTTAAACCTTATTATCTTTCATTCCGAGGTGAAACCCCTAAAATGATTGGGCTACCTTGCGCTCAGAAAAACAAATGACAATTGTTTTTCTGCATCAAGTGAATAAGTTTTAATTCTGAATCAAGTGAATAAGTTTTAATTAGTAAACAGTTAATTTATTAACGGATTATGGAAAATTATAGCTGTAAGCTCTGTGCTTGTGATATGTGTTTATTGAAATTAGTTACGAATTACGAATAGATTTTCAATATTGTCGTTTGATAATAAAATTAAAATAAGTGTAAAGTTAAGGTGTGGGACCAGTTGAGATTGAACTAAAAGAAAGGTGAGGTTATTCGTTTTAATAAAAAGTATTATGATAGTTTCAATTAGTTAGCAGGTTGTGTACACACAAATAGGTTATTTTGTTTGCCTTGTTTGTTGTTTTTAATAATAATAATAAGAATGTTTGAATCTCCTATATTCCTATTTAAATAACTTTTATAAAGCTGTGGTGAACAGATCGATTTAAAGTACTTTCGTGGCTCAAAGGTAGTTGAGAGATTCATGAACTATATAGATGTTAATTCTGATCGGACTGCTGTAACATTATGCGCGAATATTATCAATATTTAAATTAAATTAAGGTTTTGCGGTTACTTCGCGTATTTTATTATGATAAAACTACGTACTCCCGACGTTTCTATTGCTTTGCAGCAACCGTGATCACGGCAGACATCTCGTCTGCCCGTTAAAAATACTAAAAAATTAGTTTCATTTATAATTTTAAGCAATACTTGTGAAAGATATCATTATTATCAAAGTTTTAGAGGAGGAAAGGATGAAAATTGGTATTTTATTTTTTAATATATTCTGCTTACTCTACCCCAAATCTCTGTGCACGCCACTGGTATTGAGAGTAACCTCTATGTGTGTCTGTTAAACATGGGTAATCTATAGAATACTATGGCTTGTCTTTGACATGTTCGTGTAAGTTGAGTTTTTCGTTGAAGATTACTCTGACAAACTTGATGCTTCTTTGGAAGTGTCGGGTGTTTGAGTCCATTGTGTTTATTTGTTTAACTTTAGCACTAAAGGAATGTTTAATTTATTCGCCTCAGCCAACGACGGTGTAAAATGAAGTGTTATTGTTATCTTGCAGTTCAGATCTCACTTTTGATACTCAACTAAAATTGTCTTTTTAGTAAGAAGATGTTAATTTTAGTCTTTTTTTGTAGGATGTACATTCTACAATCTGCAATAATTACTCTGACACAATTATTTCAGGAGTTTGGTTACGGGTGAATATATGTTATTTGATTTTTTCGTGTCCCAGAAGGAAATATTATCGGTTCCATTCAATATTTATAATTTATTTATTTGACACTATTTTAAAATTAGTAATCACGTGGGATTATTCCATTTTTTTCAGTTTTCAGTCCAGAGGGAAACCAGAGTAGGGACAAATCAAAGCAGGGTATTGTTGTACCATTGATTATATTAGCTAAGAAAGTTGACTAATATTAAATAAAACGTCTATTTAACAAAAAAAATGTCACTCCTGTGGCTATCATGTATGTACTCGTAACATGCCAGAGGAGTGACGTCAGATAAGTGGAAAAATCACACATAATGTATTAAAATTAACATCACTCGCTTTTCTTACATCAGTTTAAATTGATATATTATGACATCTACGGACAATAAACATTGATTATAGAAATTAACAATTTTGTAACTATAAAATAAAAAAATATATGTTTACATAAGGAAATACTCCAACAATTGGTACAAAATTACTTTCCGAATGTTTATAGAAAACTGATCCAATTTTTTTTTAATTTTTACGTCTTTGAATTATCCAGATGAAGTGACATTATTGTAACATGACTCAAAAATAAGTTATTATTTTATATTAATAAATATTTTTACTCAAAATAATGGTAAAAGATCTTTCGATGTTTATTAAAGACCACATTAAATAAAAAAAATAATTGTTTACTTTTTGGAAGTATTCAGCCATAAGTTCATTTTAAATTATTAAAAATATAAAGTAAATAATTATCGTGAATACTTAGTCTTTGTGGGCTAGATAAAATGCCATTTTCTTTATTGTTTAGGCATAAAGAGATAATGATATAATAAGTTTTAAATAAAATGTCTATAGACCAATGGAATTCAAATAGCGTATATTCACTCTTATAACTATATATATCTACCTAATAGCGTTGTTATAGAAGTACGTTAATATTTGACTTGTATTCATTCCAAAGATTAAAAGATTTTTGATTGTACTATGGTTTTCGTAAACTAAGCCTCTTTTATAATTTTTTACGAACAGAAACCCGACGCGACGTCTCGATTACTTTACAGCAACCGTGATCACAGACAAACGAGATGTAAGACTTTTCGGGGACGTCAGGGTTATGTAGTTAAAAATAAAAAAAGTTTTCGTTTAAACTGTTGTAATTTTCTTTTTAGTTAAATGGAGTTTGAGAAAATTTTTGAATTATTATAACCAATCAGAAAATTTCCAACAGAGCAAATGGTTAGTAATCTGCCTTCCATTTAACTTAAGAAAATATATTTAAGATTCTAACAAAATCTTAAAAAATATACATAGTTGTAAAGCAAATATTTTTAAGTAACAAATCAAAAATAACCTAGATTATACTTGTTTTGCAGAGTTTATACTAATTATTATTATCTAAAACCAAAACAGCTTAAACAACTTAAATTTAGTTTACAAATTTAATTTTATTTTTCCCGCGCAAAAGTGAACGAACCAAAGGTTATCGTTTGAATGTCTTCGGGTGCGTTCCGGAACTTAAAGGTTCGATTCAAATTAAATGGGTGTTCTTAAATTATAATTTTCCTGTAAAAGTACAACCTTAAATAAGTACGTTGGCTCGGCTTATGAAGGCGTTTAAATTCAATAAATATATTTTCATCTAAATAGGCTATCATTGAATTTACCAAATACCACAGACCAAACTGTATTTCTAGTTCTGGGTATATTCAAAGTGACCTTACAGAACAAAAAAAAATACTTGTAAAAGAACAAACAAGTGGATTTATAATGTTGACACAGAAAATGATTTTGATTGATTATGGCACTTATAAATGTATTACAGTTTAGACAATAAAAAAAATTGTTTTATTTGATTAATATAAGAATTAATACAATAAATAAACAGCTAACAGAACAGGGGATTCTTGAAATAAAACGCTGAGTCGATTTGATATAATTTTATTTTTCTTGTATTTTTATATAATGACTATGATCATCTATCGTCTAATCTAAATAATATTATATATTTCAACAGCATCCTTATATACAGTTGTATGTTAGTAATGACTCCCGCCTCAACGAACGAAACGAACGAAACATTCGTCTACCGAAAAAATAACTTCCAACTGAACTACGATCGTTAAAGTTTAACAACTAATAATTTGCCACAAGTTTTGGTAATTATTTATTTACAAATCTTACATTAATTTAGTCCCACAATTTCCGAATCGATCATCGTTCATGGGAACTTTTAGTATAGATCGTGTTTTAAGTAATATAAGTAGTAAGCGCGTACTTTAACGTTCTCGGGTCCTCGCAGGCCGCAGACGGAGAGCGAGTAACAACAAATACATCTGTTCAAACTTAACATCGCTAGTGAGGGGGAGCGCCTGCCGCCACAGACTTACATCGGAACAGTGATGACATGTCTCATATATATATATATAGAGCTACGACTGGACAGATACCAGGGTCGAGCAACGCAAGGCTGCGGCGACAAGCGAGACGCTATCCTCAATAAATAAATGTAACATGTACTGTGTATGATATACTTTGATTATAAAATATTCAATTTCCAACAAACTTTACATCATTTATAGTAAAGGAACTTATCACATCATTTAATTTTAAACATCGATTATTAAACAATATTTAAAGTAATATAAAACTTCTACTGTTTCATTATTTGGTAAATAACAACTAATTCAATATGTGAGGTCGTCGACCTTCGCCGTGATCGCTAATACGCATAGGAAAATATTCTTCGGTTTTAAAAAGTGCTACGTACCAAAATAATCTGGTTATAAGTAATATACAGCATGTACTATAATAAAGATAAAGACACACTCCATACATAGTAACTCGGCTTCAAGCATCACCGCGGAGACAACATATTAGGTGAGATTATAATCACTCGTCGAGACTTTAGTGCTCTCAAATATTGTAAGTTTTAGTTCTATAGAATCACAAATATATATAAGCAGTATGAAGCTATATTTAAATAGATTATAGTTCCGATCTACGCCGAGTTGTCACCATCACAAGAGGACTGAACCAAGTATATAACATAGTCTAAATGATAAGAAGTGACGCAACGAGTAGACAGACATAAAACAGAGCTCCAAAATAGAAGATAGCTTTGGCATCCAACATTCATAAATAAAACTAGCAACACTACTCACTACCATACTCCGAGCTAGGATACGCAGACGAGATAAGCTTTGAGCGATTGTTGGGACCGCACGCGACGGACACGACGCGACGTAACGATAAATAAACTTTATAACAATGTGATACATGTATAGTGGTGGAGTGACGCGACACACTGTACACTGTACACGAGTCAGACCGTCCACGCGCTCGCTAGATACACTTACCGAGTACTTTACATATTACATTATATTAGACATTTGTTTATTCATCTCTATTAGGTAACAGATTAAGTAACAACATCGACACGACACCGATTGGTCAGCCGCGGTCTCCCGCACCTTGTATTGCTATCATTGTGAGAGGGTGTCACCCTCGCTCATCACCCTCACCCGCACTCAGACTACACCATAAAATATTAATCTTACAACATTCAAAAATATAGATCTGTATAGGGAAGGAAGATAGACAGGCTCAAAAAAATATCGGGAATTAGTCGAAGTTAAGAACAAAAACGAAGAGTCGAACGCCACGTGGCAGACGACATGAGACAGAACGGAAGCACCAGGCGGTGTGAAACAGAACGTCCTTTGAAGAGTAACAAAATTATTGTCATCCAATGCTTCAATTTCATCATTTAATGTTTATAATATTAACGTTACGTTATCTATTTACAGCTCACCACGACACACAGTCACTACGGTCTCCTACCTCTATCGGTAACGAGTACATCTACTCATCATCACTCGACGGTCGAGTCGCCACACTCATGAATCTCATAGTGATATATACTACAAGGTAACTTTAAAAGGTCCAGTGAGTTATAGTAGTAGTATAGTATAACCCTTGATATGCAGCTCTAACAGCTCTAGAGGCGCTGGACACGAACATCTACATGAGACGGTAAGAGTGCGATACAGAGAAGTGACTACCTTATGAGGTTCATTGTATAAAAAGATTAAGTTTAGTAATCATATATTATTTACATTATCACATCGCAGGAGGGCGGCGCTACAACGGTATGTACACGACGAGACGAGCAGAGGAGCCTCCAGTCGAGATTGAGAAGGAGCGAAGTGAAGTACGTGAGGCACAGAAATAATTGAACGACACGGCCGCGGTCGAGCTGACGGGCGCTCACAGCTGGTACCACTTTTTGTCCTTGTACTTGAGCATGAGCTGGTGCGCCGAGGAGGAGAACTCGGAGGCCTGGGAGTGCATGCGCTCGGCGCGGTCCTCCAGCTGAGACAGCTTGTCCCCGCGCTCCACCACCAGCTGGTGCGCGCGAGACACCTCGCTGCAGGCGGCGCCCGCGCGGGCCCCCAGCGCCTCCATGCCCGCCGGGCCTGGAATGTGTTTGGCGACCGCGCGGCTCGGCTTGCCACTGCTCTCTCCGACTGAAATCACATCGATAAATTTTGAATAATTTGCTATTCAGTAGTACTATGCTCATCGTCAATATAAAAGAGTGAGAGGACATTTTGTTTCTAGGTCTTATCGTTTATTGGGATTTTTTCTTCGAGTAAGTAAAGAATTTAAAAAACCTGAAACAATTTTATTATTGTTTCACTCTTTGATTCGACCTATTCTGGAATACTCGTCTACTGTATGGAATCCATGTCACCAAGCTTGTATAGACAGTTTAGATAAGTTATAAAACAAGTTATACAATTTTATAAAAAGCCGGTTTCCTCAATGTAATATTAACTTAAAAAATACTCTCCAAAGTCGACGTGTTTTGTTGTTTCGTTGATTTTTATAATTATTGTATTTGTTTGTTTTTTTTTATTTGTGGCAGCTTCATTGGTGTATGTTTTTGTAATTTTATTTATAATTTTAGTGTATTGTGAACTGTTTGTGCCTTAATAAAGCAAAATAAAATAAAATAAAATGACTCACAGAGTTCCTCCCGGTCGAGAGGCCTGGACCCTCCGCCGAAGAGACCGCGGAAAAAACTCTCTTTCGGAGCTTCGGGCATGTCTCGAGGAAGAAATAGTTCACCTATCATCTCGTTCAGCTGTTGACTGAAATTTATTTAGCACTGTTAGGAACCTTATTCTTTACTGAGAACATGATCATACATGTGTGTATGTTAATTCGTACCAGAACTCTGCATCTAAGGTAAACTTCTGTATTTCCGTGGGAGACGCCAGGTACAGTCCGTGGCCGCGGTTACTGAAGCAAAACGTCTTTGCTATTCTGAAATACGAAATGAGGTCCAAGCTTTATATATGTACTTGTATAAACCGCGACCAGTTGAATATAACGTTAAAACATTGGACCAAAATGTAAGTCTTCTATTAAGGTTTTCTTTGAAACAGTTAACAAAATAATAACAATAGTAATTTGATTCGGAGATAGAAAGTAAACATTACTATGAATTATTATTAGCTCATTATTTATGTTAGTAGCTGAAACTTTACGCATAGAAATAATATTTTTCTTACCTTCATAGTGTTCTTCACGTTCGTACTTAAAAAATTTTGAATATTTTAATTCTATACTATTTAGAAAGCTTTATTGTGCTTGTAAAAATAAATGAATGTGAAAAAAAGACACTTATGAAAGCTGACATGCTCTAAGACAAGACAGAAAATAGATAAAAGGAAAGAATTGCTCAAAAAAGAAAGAGGAGAATATAGAAAGAAGTAATACTGTCGGGAAAATAATGTACATGGTAATGTGGTGTTGTGGGATGTTGAGTGTGTGTGTGGCTCTGGGTCGTGAAGCGGGCGGACGGAGGGAAATGCCAGTTTATAAAATTTTGATTACAAACAAGATGTGTTTTGAGACATTATGATTAACAACATTTTTCTACGAAGTAAACTAGGATTTAACTTTTATTTCATCTAAGATAAGATTACATAATGCTTATTTTTTTATCGAATGTCTTAAAACAACTCGGAAATTTCAGATATGTGCCAACAGTAGTAAACATCTAATTTAGGAAGAGATTTAGTGGGATACCAATTAAATAATGATAACAAAGGGTACGTCCATGTCCAGGGTGGCGCAGGGCGGGGTGGAAGCTGTCGGGGACGGGGGATGTACAACACTAACGAGTAGGGTTCGGCTCATGAGGGACGGATACATGACTAACGCAATTCCGATATGAACGAAGACTTACTGATCCGTGTCCTCGTTAACTATCAGTTGTTGGCCCCAAATGGACAGCATTGGGTCTACGATACCCCTCTGTTTGGACTGTGTCTGGAAGCTACCAGGAACACAGGCACTGGTCAGTACAGCGCTCGGGAGCGAGGTGGTCGCGCCACCAGTGACGGCAGAACGACCACGGCGCTCGCCTCATCGATTACCAATTGCACTAGTAATGTACGGTTAGAACAAATGTCATCGTGGCGAATGAGGGTTCGAGTCACCATCGGCACTATATGCAAACACATGTCGGGCGCATACCATGGTCATCGAGCACGTTCAGGGTGTACAGTCTTACACAAAACAGCACCAAGTTACGAATACACCGGCGGGCTCTATATTGTTTAGAAATGTGTTCTGGATCGTGTACTTAGCTGTTCATAAAACATAAAAAAGATGAAGAGTGCCAAATATCGAAAGCACAAGAGGTGCTCGATAGATTTACAAAATTTTGTCTACTTGTGATTAGAAGTAAAGTGGCGATGGCCACTAACACTAGCGGCTCGGTGCTGGCCGTGTCCTTTAGTTTTACTTCACTTGCTTGATGCTTCGATTTCGTTCGTCAAAAAAGGTTCAAAGGTATTTATCATCACCCAAATCTCGTGCACCAAACAAGCGAACATGTCTAACATTCATAATAAATTAAAGGAAGTCTTATGGTCGGCTCCCAAATGATAAAATAGCGAATGTACAAAATGATCTGAATCATGACATTTGATGGATGTAAAATTGTAAGATGACCAAATCTTAAAATCTTCATTAGCAGAAAACGCAAAGCTATTTGTATCTAGAGAATGTAAAGGTAAAAAAGCCGTTTATCATTTAGTGCCTGGTATAAGTGCGTGGAAAAACGTCCTGGAGCAATTGACGTCCAGAAAAAAAGAGAGGTGATCAGCCTCCTTTCTATTGGGTCTTATGTATAGTTACTCGGTGTGAGTAACATTCATATAGGTGATAAGCACCGAACTAAGAAGAAATTAAACCCTTTACGATTGTTGTTAAAAACAGGACATTACAAATTAGTATTCCACGAACATATTTTAGTGTTATTATGAAATATATTAAGATACAATTTCTTGTTAGCTCAGTAGTGTCTCACTCGGGAGATGGTTAGTAAAGTATATAAAAGGTCAAGTGTGTCATGATACCTCAGCTCTGTCAGCGGGAGGAAGTCTGCGTGCACCAGCGGCCGGAGTGAGGGTAGGCTGTAAGCCGCGAGGTGGCCCGTGGATAGATAGTTGACAAGACACACGCTGTCTGAAATAGTCAATTATTTTATTTTATTTACTTAGGAACACCAACAGTACACATATGTATGCAACATTTACACAAAAATACAGTCAAAAGTATAGGTCTTCATATGTACACCTATTACAGGTATTCACAGCACTGTCTAAAAAGTTTTTGACAACAAAACACCTTAATCTAATTAAATTAAATTACTTCTACAAAAAAAAAAACAACACTAATTAATAAAAAACAACACATAAATTAAAAGTGTACTTTAGTAATTATACTTACACATCTGATTGGATTCAAAACGATATCTTCAAATACATATATTGTCGCCACTTTAATTTTACTATCCCTACTAATATTATAAATGCGAAAGTAACTCTGACTGTCTGCCTGTGTGTTACGCTTTCACGCCTAAACCACTGAACTGATTTTAATGAAATTTGGTACAGAGATAGAGTTGACATTGAGAAAGAACATATGATAGGTTTTATCCCAGACTTTTGAAAGGTTCTCTTGGAAACACGATATAACCGAATTCTACGCGGGCGGGAAACTAGTGGTAGTATAAATTGACTTACCTTTAAGACTGACAATCTCAGATTTCACTACGAAATCAGTATCTACAATTTGCTGTCTATAGACGCAGTTCTGACTGGGCAAGGCGACGACCCTGGCCTGCTTCTCAGACGCTATCACCACAAACTGTCTGTCAGCGGCCGCCTCCGCCCCGGGCGTGGGACTCACGTGGCTGCTGCTTCCCGACGAACTCTGTTTGGTGGGAGTCCGTTCACGACGGTCACGACCCTATATTATGACAAGATTGTTAAGACACGAACACATATTCTAATGTAACGAATAAACTATTCAACTCACGTCTTTACTATCATCCTTCCAACTCTCGTAGGAATATGGGATTAAAGCACCGTTACAGTCCAAGAAAGACATTGCCAATATTGAACCCTTTAGCCTAAATATAGGACCACCTACAAACATTTATTGAGGTAAATTTTTGAACTCAATTTTAATACCGAAAGTATGAATTGTTAGTTACCACTGGTGGAGACGACCACGGGTTGTGTGTGACGCATGTCCGCTTCTGGTAAACTTATCATCATGGTGAGAACAGAACCTAAAGTAGTACCGATCCATAGCGTCGGTAGTAACGTTGACGGATCTACAAACATTATATACATGTGATTTTAATTATATTTAAAAATATATGTGTCTTTATAGCCCTGAAACATATAATAATAAAATACAATGTCTGTAAAAACATTAGTAAGTCGATTGATTTTTCTTTGTTTTTAAAGTAAATTATCGGATTCGTTTAGACTCTAGAGAGAGCGATTTTCATGTCTAACTATGACTTTCTTCTGGATTTATGTTGTTTGTATAACACGAACATTTCTATTTATGTTATTGTTGGTATACTGTAGCTGGCTGATTTACTCTTTATTTATTTTTATTTATTAAAACAGTGCTAACAGTTCAGTAACAGTTTGTATCGTTAACTTCTGGTTTCACAAAAATATAAAACATCTTATTACGTTATCGTCAGAAGTTTCAGTAGAAATGTTTAGTAATTAATTACATATTGGTTCTGGACCACTTCGTTGTCAACTTATTTTGTAAATAATTTTAGTTTTTTTATTATTTCTTTCTAAAACGATATTTTTCTAGTTTATTTGAGGCATTTTTGAGTTTGCTGTGTACCGTAAAATTGTTTCTAAAATTTTTAAAGTGTATGTAGGTATGTGCTTCTTTTTTATATTTTATATATTTTTCGAGTTTTTTTCCGCTTGTTTAATGCTTCTGAGAGAACCTCGGCTTAGAGCATCGAAAAAGGGAGCGTGGCTCTGTAAGATATATGTATCGAGTTTTATTAGTTTTTTGTACGGATTTTGGAAGTTTTGACATTTAACAACTTATTTTTAGGAAGCTTAAAACTGAATTCTTGTATTTCCTGCCTTGATTTCGAAAGTTATAGATGTCACTCTTGCTTTTGATTTTTTTTATATTTTTGGGAATCTTTATATTTGGAGATTTCTAATATAAATTATTTTGTGAATTTCTAACTTTTTATATCGTCTTTATTAACTTTTCTTTTGAAAGAAGCTGTTATGATTTAACAGTTTATTTACACACTGTTTAAGCATTGATTTCTCATTCGAAATTTCACTAACCAAGTCAAGTGAATTAATTAATTGAACACTAAAAGAGATGTGTAAGTTCTAACATTCTATGTGTTGTATTATACAAATATAAGTTTAACTTATTTTATTTTGTTAATCATGTGTTGGTGTCACGTATGGGCTTCTTTGTAAGACGGCGATGTTTATGTAACAAAGACACAAGTTTTTCAGAGTTTTGAAAGGCTATATGAATACCGTTGACAACTTATCTCGAGGTAGTAACTTACCAGACTTCTTAGTGTAGCTGTCGGCAAACGCTAGACATTGAATTCCTTCTTGAGAGATATTCTCCAAGCTTGACATGCTGCTGGATCGAGATCTTGAGAACGAGCTGTCCAGCTTGTCTACGCGGCCGGTTGGTGTAATATACATAGATTATCCCTCCGCTTTGTTCGACAATTAGCTAAAAGTCCACTAGCACGGAATGCTAGAGAACCCTTAGCTCCCTCCATCATAGTGGTTGTAAATGATATTGACAAAGAAAAATATAACAATATCATATGAATGTGAAAAACAACCACTATCATGATATTAACAGAACAGCTACAAGGTTGCTCGCTAGGTCTAGCTGGTTATGTGCACTTGTGAAACTGACTGAGCTTGATCCAATAATAAATAGTCTTGTTTGTGCCACATAGAATATTAAGGTAGAGATTGAGAAATGTTTCATGCTCCATATTATATTGCATGCCCGTCCAATTTCAGCTTAATTTCACAACATTATTATAGAATATTAAAATATATATCAAGATTAGCTCAATGTTTTAGATTCAATTTCTACGGGAAGAAGTAGTTTTAATAGCACATATGTATGTTATTTCAATTAAAACAAATTTACCTTTTGGATTACAAAAACATGTATAGATAATGGTACAAACAATGATAGCTAAGAGGATGGAAGCAACATATGGGGCGAGGCGGGACGGAGACCCATGATACGTGATGAAAAAATTTATATTTTCATTAGAAAAATTACATATGGGAATGAAAAGGCAAAGGCGGTTGTTATATCAAGCTATTTTCTAGTGGTTGGTTAACTGGCTCTAAGACATTCTTCAACAATTGTATATTTTTGCTATTTCTTGCAAAGCCATCAGTCAACTAATATAAAGCATTCGTATGGACGGACAAACAAGGTTGACGCAAAAATATCACATCTAAGAGTGTTGTACAGCATCAATGCTTGCCATGATAGCGCATGCGACTACTACTATTAATAAGAAGATTACTTAAGCATACATAGACATAAGGACAGCCGAATATAGAGGCAGCCAAAAACGAGCCATATAAACTTTTGTGGTCGAGCTAGAAACAAAAAAATAATGTCATGTACTCAACAGCGGTTAATAATTATAGTAAGACTATTAATAACAATCGAGTGAGCAGCGCCAGGGTCGTCTGGGAGGACCAGGCGCTGCACGTCAAGGGTGACGCTGAAGTGGAAATAGAAAAATATGATGCTGACAGAGGCAAACAAACAAAACAAGTGACCGCGCGTGATTAGATAAATAGAAACATTTGGAAAACTTAGAAAAGGTTACAGATGATAAAGATCGTGTCTCGGTTACAAAATGAAGCGTCGCTTATAAAATACACACATTACATGGATACCGTTCGTACAATAAGAGAGTGATAAGTATGAGAGAGAGAGGGAAAGAGATAGTTTTTAGTAGTAAGTCACCTTTTGTTACGTGTAAGAGTCATGCCGGATACAGTTCGTGAGTGCAGTTGAGGTGCAGTGTAGGAACAACATGTAGTATAGTCACAGCCACAATTTCCATCTAACGGATATAACAAACCAGCTACTGTGTAAGGAACGCACCGCAGCCCGTGACAAGCCACACAACAGAAGGAAACAAAATAAACAGATTATGTAAATGTAAGTCGATGCTAAAGTCATTCGGATACCATTGGGTTGACCAATTTGTAAGTACTCCATAGATGCGAGAGTCTGCGGAATAGTTGGTTCTGTATCGACAAATAAACCACAATAGGTTACAAGCGAGATCTTCAATCCTTACGCTATACTTTGACATTGTCGCCGGCTGCAGTCTTAGTGTAATCTCTTGGCAATATTTGAATTACGTAAAATATTGTTTGATATATGTAGAATATACTATCATAATGTTTGTGATTACATTAAGGCTGCATTACAATAATATCGACGATGAGATCTGGCAAAACAACTACTTGACTGCCATGAAGGGGACACACGATCGAAGAAGGCAGTGTATAGACGACAATGGTAACAACACAGGAGAACAGAAAACTACTTGGAAAATAACTAGAAATAAAATAAACAAAGACATGTTACACTGTAATGATTACCTATGAAATGATTCCGATCTGAAATTGGAAATTGATCAAATAAATAATTATACAGAGAGAAGGACCCAATACATGCTTCACTGAGGATCATGGCATTCCTTTAATGAATTTAACATTATGTTATTACAAGTAGGTTTATCTTTTTTGCCAGAAATAGTTTTTTTTTAATTCTTTATATTTAACTTGATGCTTAAGTAAAACAATACTCGAGTATCTAATATGAGAAGTTATGGATACTGAAGTGGTTATAGTGAAGAAAGTATATTAGAAAGAAAATAATAATAACAACAAAAGAAGGGAAAAAAGAAGACAAAATAGAGGCGAAGTCGCTCGAGAGTACACAGCTGCACAGTCACGACTAACTAATTAACTTTCATATGATACACAACAAATGCCAGGCGCGTTATATGTTCAAGCCATCACCGGCCGATACTTCATGACCTCAATACGTAAGCTTCTCAAGATGCACAACATACGCCTCCGATCCATAACAATCGGCACTCGATCCAGCGACTCGCCGTTAGAACAAAACTTAAATAAACAAAAAATAATAAACAGAACATAACGAAGGAGAAATTGCGACTGCGTTAGATTGGAAAGGCGAGACCGAGAGGTCGTATAAAGGTGACTGTACTACCAAAACTGCAATACTGTCGCGTCGTTAGCAGAGAATGCTGCGGGGCGGGGGGCGCGGCGTACACGTCGGACGCGGTGGAGAGGCACTTGTGCAGTTTGCGGGTACCTTGCGAGCGCGAGCGCCGCACCGCACGAGTTCCTGCGGGGCCCCCCGCACCCGGCGCCGGCCCGCCGCAGGCCCCCGTCGGCCCCCCGCCAGGCCCCGCCGGGCCCCCGCAGCCTCCGCCCGGCCCGTTCATCTACAACACACACACACAGGTCCGACCTCCGACACACCCCTACCGACGTACGCGCACACCACCGCCTCCCCTAGCGATATATGTTCCTGCTGATATAAGTTTATGTGGCGATACAAACCAAAAATGACAGTTAAAACCCAATATTATATAAAGCGAAAGTAACCACTGAAAGTAATATACAAAAATAGGAAGGAGTATGATAGAACCGCCACCACACTTACATATTATAAACACGTATGTATATACATATATAATAATATAAGATTAATGCTAAGTAACAAGGACCCGACGCGGACGCATCGTTAGACGGACGGAAGAGTCTCTGCCGGTCGGCTGGAGCCTGTATTAGTGAGGTGTGAGCGGACAAGTCACTGTATCCCTTCGGTTAGCTTTGTGTGAGTCCTTATCGTTGGTCCATACCTATTCTGGTGGGCACTTCTATGACTCGCTCGACTGTGTCTTCTTCCATACTTTGCTCATTTCTTGGGCACAGTCTCCCTACTAAATCTCCTGGAGAAAGCAGATCGGTCAACAAGATATGTATAATTCGGTTAGGTTGTTAGTGTTCCCGGCGCGTCTGTCTGATGGGCTGATGTGAAGCTATCAAGCGGGAGGTGCACAGCTACAGTCCGACTACGTAGCTCGTTACTCAAAGATCATCAAACGGACATCGACAATACAAGAGGTTGGAACGCCTACTATCGATGCATAAACATATTAAATCAAATTATCAAGTTACCGAAGAGCTCTGATAGGTATCTAATAGTGATGTAACGAATGTTGGATTTTTCACATTCGCGAATGCGAATGCGAATGCGAATATTCATCTTCAATATTCGCGAATGCGAATGCGAATGCGAATGTTAAATTTCAAATAAAGCGCGCGCAAAATGTTTGACATTTCGTGTCGGCCATGTTTAAATTGAACATAGCCGAGCCGATACAGGTTGAATGAACGAAGTTAGTCACAGAAAGTTCATTCGAAAAGTATTGTTTTGATTTGAGGTTAGTTTGGTGTTATTGCATTTCCCAAATTTAACTGATATTCAAGTGACAAAGTGGTATAAAAACATGAGTAAAGCACGTGTTAGCGAAGTTTGGACTTATTTCACAATATATGATGCTGAAAATGTAAATTGCAAGTTGTGTGATAAAAAGTACTCGCGCAAAGGCAGGACCACTAGTGCTATGCGAAATCACCTAGAAACTAAACACAAAAATGAATATGACGAATTGAAAAGAAGAGAGCATGAAAAGCGAGGTGCTGCTAAAATAAATTCTTTGGCGTCCTCTTCGCGACAATGTACCAAAACCGACCTTAAGCAAATATCTTTAGGTGATTGCATCGAAAAAAATAAAAAATGGGATAACAACAACACCAAGTCTTTGGAGCTAGATAATTTAATTGGCGAAATGATTGCACTGGAGGACTTACCATTTAGTTTTGTGGAATGCCTTGGATTTGTGAGATTGATTAACCAAGTGTGCCCCTCGTATAATTTAAAATCTCGGCAATATTTTACTTCGTTTATTTGCGAAAAATTATATGGCAAGGTAAAAGATAAAATTCTGGAATTAATCAAATCATTTGAAAAACTAGCGTTTACAACTGATATCTGGTCTGATTCTTGCTCTGGGGTATCGCTGATAAGTTTCACTTGTCACGGAATTACCAAAAGTTTTGAAAGAAAAATGATTGTTTTGAAATCTGAAGTATTTAATGATGGGCGACATACAGGAGAAAATATAGCCGTAAAGCTAGAAACTATGTTGTCATCATGGGGAATTCCCAAAGAAAAGGTATTATGTATTGTTAGGGACGGTGGCACTAACATGAAAAAAGGTATTTCTTTATTAAATATTAAAAACATTGATTGTTTATCGCACCAAATTCAACTTGTTGTTAAGGAAGGGCTTAAGTCACAAGAATCTATCATTGCAGTCATTAACAAATGTAAAAAGATAGCAACACATTTTCACCACTCTAATGTAGCTCAAGATGAACTTGCTAATCTACAAGAAAAACTTAATCAACCAAAGCTCAAGATAATCCAAGAGTGTGTTACGAGATGGAATAGCAACTTTTACATGTTAGAACGAATTTTAAAAAACAAAGATTCACTGTGCCTTTATGCTTCCACTAACAACAAAATTTCACAACTAAGTTCAGATGAATGGATAGTTGTGGAAAAATTAATTACATTGCTTAAACCTTTTGAAGAAATAACACGAGAACTAAGTGCAGCCAATGTTTCCATATCGTCTGTGATTCCGTTATTGGCCACCCTGGAAAAGGTGATTGATGAATATGAGGCATCTGAAGAATGCATTAGAAAAACTATACTCGTTTTAAAACAAGAAATGAATCACAGATTTTCTCACTTGGAAAACGACAAATTATTTGCTACAGCAACTTTTATTGATCCTAGGTACAAATCGAAATTTTTCAAAAATCCTTCAACCAAAGATCAGGTCGTGAAAAATATTTTGGATTTAATTGGAAATGAGGACTTCAGCTTTCCTTCATGTTCAAATTCAAAGCGTCCTAAAACGACTAATCAGGTTAAGGAAAACTTTGGCTCCAGTGCCAGTCTTTCAGAAAAATCTGTATCACTAAAAGAAACTATGAAAATGATGATGGACTCAAGTGAAAGCGAGGAAGAATTAGAAAATGAAATTCCAAATCCTGTAGAAGTTTTAATTAAAAAAAATATTAATGATTATGTATTGGATAAACGTATTGAAAATGAAGAAGACCCACTTCTTTGGTGGAAAGTTAATAGCAATAAATATGGTATTCTTTCTCCTGTAGCCAGAGAATATTTGGTAACTCCACCCACAAGTGTCCCCAGTGAAAGAGTTTTCAGTGGAGCTGGACTTCTCTACACACCTCACCGAAACAGGCTGCACGGAGAAAGAGCTTCAAAACTTTTATTTTTAAAATTTAACATTCCTTTACTTCAATTTAATTACTAAGAATTTAAAGTTACAGCGAGTTTAATTATTTTAATAGTCAACTGTGTCAACTTGTTATTAGCAAAACTATAATTGTGTAGTTTATATTTGATTATTTTTAATTCATAGAAAAAGAAAATTAGTGAAAAAATGTGCAATTGAAACCAAATGTTAACATTATGAATATTAGAACTTTACTTTTGTTTTAAATAGAAATAAATATTTTTTGTTTTTGTAAAAAGCTTATTTACAAATAGTCAAGTATTCATTATTTGATTTTTTAAGTTTATATTTCATTATCATATTTAATTCTTAGAAAATATATAGTGGGATGGAAAAATATATAATTAAAGCCAAAAAGGTTATAAATTAATATTATACTTAGATTTGATTGGATCTCTGAAGTTCTGTTTTCACAAAAGATACTTGAATTTAGAATTAGATTTTTTTCAAAATATATGTAAGGCATGGACATTCATTATTTTTTCTGTGGTGGAGTTAAGTTGTGATTTTGTTAATATTTTAATTAGACTAACAAGAACAAAAGAGAAAGTGTTTCTAATTTAGTTGCTTACCAAGACTGTTCCATAATATTTTTTTTTAATTCAAGTATGGTTAAATAAAAATATATAAATCTTATCAGTTGTGTTATCATTTCATATGCAACCATATAATAATTTCCTTTTTGTTTGTTAAATACATTCGCTAAATATTCGCATCGTTTTTTGCGAATAGGAATGCGAATGCGAATATCGAAAAATATGCGAATATTGGCGAATGCGAATGCGAATATTCGTTACATCACTAGTATCTAAGGCAGTTCGACTCCTCGTCGGCCGACTCCTTGTCCTTGGGGAAAAAATATACCAATTACCGAATATAATATGCTGGCTGGTCATCATATATGTAGATACTGTGCATGTTTACTTACACGTGAATATTAAACAAATACAATATTATATAATATTATATGATATTCGATATCGGACTGTTCAAAGTATATAATTAAATTAAATAAAAAGCTAAATATCACAAGAAGCGGTAAGCATGATGTATCGATTGTTTCATAGTAAATAATCTCGATTAAAACTTTAAAACAAAACTAGTAGCACTCCTTTCTTAGTATGTTAGTAAATGAACCAAAATTAAACTCCGATGTCAGAGTTCTAACTACTTACCGAGTCTACTTAGTAACGAGCAAAAAGTCTATCGTATGAAAACCTATCTACAATATTAAACGATATAAATTCGCCAAACCATTACCATTCCAAACCAATCCCGGAACTACGCTATGATACATGAGGGCTAGTGCTACGATACGATACGGAGCGAACCCGCGGTGGCGCGAGGTGAGTGAGGTGAGTGATGGGTGGGTCCCGGGGATACTTACTGAACCGCCGCATCAGGTTGCCCGCGAACGACTGCGGCTGCTGGGCCGCGGCCTGCTTCTTGCGGAGGTCCTTCACCGACTCTTGCTTGGTGTACTTTATGTTCGGCACCGAGAGGAGTCTTTGGTCTCTTTGATCTCTCGTCTCATCTTTTCTCTTACTCTTCCCTCGGGGCGGTCGTAAAGGTTTACCGTCTTCGTCGAACAGCGGCAGGTTGTCCGGTCTCGTGGCCTTCTCCTCTTCTCCTAATCTAGACGGTGATATGTCGGGAGTGTCCTCGTTCCTCTCTTTGTCCTGCCATCTCTCCTGGAGTTCTTTGTGCATTCTGTCGTAAACGTCTTCGCTCGATCGTTTCTCCTGCAATTCTTTATGCATTCTCTCGAACACATCCGAGCACACCCGTAGCGGAGACGACAGTTGACTCTTATCATCTTCTGTAACTTTAACACCAGCTTCTAGTTCGTCTGGTGACTCCGCATTCATTGATTCGATCCTATCCGAGGTGACTTGTGTCGTCGCGGAGGGTTCACAGTAGAACTGTGAATTGCCTTTTTCATTATTATCTTCGTTCTCTGGAGCTGCAAACGCAGCTTTGAACTTAAGATCTACTTTGGAGAGTTGTCGTTTGAGGTTGAAGTTCTTCCAGGGTGTTGATTTCCGTCTCATGTCGAGCTTAGGGTCGGGGAAAGCTTCCTCGGCGGCGTCCGGACTGGATGGAGACTCCTCCAGCTTCAGGGACAGGGGAATACATCATACATCATGTAGAGCGAGGCTCAGACAGAGGTCATAAGGAGCTGCGGACTACGGGCCTACGGTACTGATATCGCAGTCCTTCTAAAAACTTTTTGGAATAAGGGTCGATTAAGATTTACCATACTCTTTTTTTAAGACTCTATTAATATTGTTTTAGTGACAGTAGTGTAACGTTTATTTTATCCAAGTTTGTTTACTCGCATGTAATAGTACTTGTCTAACAGATAGGCGTTACAGTAGAGACAGTACAAGACAGGCCGTGTGTAACAAATGTCTAAATGCCATGCTAGATGTCGCTACGGGTAAAGCGGGGATTCAAGTTAGAGCTTGGTACTACGAAATTAACAAAATTATAAATATAATCTATTTGAGGACAGAGCCAGAGAACTTCTCCAGCCTAGCAACTAAATCGTAATAAACAAAAAGGCAAATAAAATATAATGTGAAAGATTGCATTTTAAGTTTCTAAATAGAGATGTACTCGTATGCTCTTATATATAAACATACTCGCTTTAAACATTATTTACATTGTCAGTTATAATAATTGAACATGTTTACGTATTCGTGTACCGGTGTCTGTGGCCGTCCCTCGGTCGGCTCTAAACGAGTCCCTCACCACAAACATAACCTAGACGTGCTACGGTCGGCCACGGTCAAACAAAACATAAACGACGACCGCTTTGAAAAAATAAAATAGGTTAGATAATGACGCATGATGTCACCGAGTTACCACAGATTACAATGTGTAGACTACTAGCACTATGGAGTCTAGACTGACCTGGTCTAGGTCGGGCGAGCGTCTGAGGTGCGGGTGCTGGTCTGGGTGCGGCAGGTAGAGGGCGTGTGCGGGCAGAGCTGCCACGACACACCGACGCCACACGTCAACAACCACCAGGCCACGCTCCCCACCCCACGCCATGCTGACGACAGACATACATGACATTGTTATATTTAAACATTATTTTTGCATGCAGTGTTTGCTTTTAACTGATTTTACACAATTTATGCATGTTATTAATTTATATGGAACTTTATTTAATTATTAATTTGTGTAAAAATCGCTAGCGAATCTATAAATAAGTAAATAAATAAATAAATAAACGTGATCGTAAAATTCTTAAAATGATCAATATACATTTTTTCGAGATAAAAATCTCGGAGTGGGCAATCGGGATTGCATCTGAGGACATAATAACGATAGTCATAGATGAGTTGAAAATAGTGAAGGAGTCAGACGACGATTTCTTTACATACATATATAATTCTTCTGTGAGTGTGTATGTCACTGAACTTCTCTCAAACGAGTTGACCGATTTTTATGAAATTTTTTGTGTGTGTTCAAGGGGATCTGGGAATGGTTTAGATTCACAATTTTGTCCGCTGGACAATGTTTTTTTAATTAATTTTTAATTTATTAGTAGTTGTTGATAGAAAGGTTTTTTTTGACATTAGATTTGACAACTAACTAATATGTCAATCATTCTATCGCACTTCAAAACACGGAGATTTACGGCTTTAATAGGTAAACTCCAAAAATATAAATAAAAAACGTAACAGATATTTCTTGATTATAGGGCGATACGAAGATCGTCGGGACTTCTAGTGGATATACAAAATCGTCCTTGTCATACTTACAGTCCGTATGAGGAGTTGATGGTGAGTGTGGTGACGGGGTGCGGCGGGCCGTGTTGGAGCGCCACCAGCGAGGCCTGAAAGCCCGGAGCCCGCCGGGACCCGCCCGTGCCTGCGGAGCCTCGCACGCGGAGACCTGCGCCCGCCCACGAACCCGACTATAACATAACATAGAGAACACTTAGAACTTTATGGAATCAGGATTGTACTTACAGAAAATATACGAGAACTAACTAATATAGTCCGTTAGACTTAGCTGAGCTTTGCATTTGTGCGAGTGAAAGTAAAAGTAGAGTTAGACAAAAACTTAAGAATTCAATTTTATTATATTTTAATAGATACATAACATAAGTGCGAGAGTTATTGTAGATTAAAAATAAAATAAGCAAAACGTGTAAAGGCCAGATGGAAATATTATGGAAAAAAATATGAATTAATTTTTTTGAAAAAACTACAAATTTTTCTTCACTTGACATATCGTTTTCAAAATTTGATTTTGCTACCAGTACAAAAGGTGAAGTGAGAAAGTTGCGGGGCGGAGTAAAAACAGAAAAAACCGGTTCAAAACTAGAAAAGAACGCGGTATACAAAAATTTGACATCACACCTACACTATCCGTGTACACTCACACAAATGCAAAGCTCAGCTTAAGTGTAACGGAATATACCTGTTGTTGAATTATGTTGAAGCTATTTGTATACTATATCTTCTTCAAAGCTATTTTTTAACTTTACGCTCTCATTCAAATTTTTTGTGTTATTTATGTTTAAAATTTCCTTTTATTGTAGCTTGAGTACCTGAGATCCTTAAAAATAAACTACTAAGCACTTCAATCTATCCGTGTTCAACGTCCATTCCAGCAATACTAATGAATGTTCACAATGTCTAACCTTCTTCTGTTCTCCGTCCACAGTTTCCTGCGCGCGGCTGATCGACCCCGAGCGAGTGTTCTCGACCTCTGGAGAAACCTCCTCCTCCACCGACTCACTGATCATAGGCACCTCTATCACCTGGAACCATCATACGAAACAATATGTTACTATAAGAATATCTTCACTTTGGTGAGGTTTAGAGACGTGTTATGTGTGATATAAAAAGAATACTTGGTTGGGGCAGTCAATAAACAGAGTCTTATTAACCACACTGATAATATTTATTTATTTATTTATTTATTTATTATAATATGGATTTTTGTTGCTATTTCTCGATCAATATATTGCATACATTCTAATGAAACTTTCAAGTGATGTGGCTCAGACACCAGATCAACATATAAGCCACTTAGAATAAATAAATTTTAGTTATCATCTATTAGTTCCATTATTCCATTTAGATCAGTGCCGATAGCTTTTAAAACATTATTAAATTATAGTAGAATGAAACTCATTAGAAAAGGAGGGGAATTTTATAAAAATTAAAGGAAAAATAATTTACGGGCGATCTGAGTTCGAGAAGGGTATGGGGATGGGTATTTAATGGTAAAAAATGGATTTTCTCGATTTCCGGCGAAACTAAAAGTCTTACGGAAAAAATGTTATATGGCAAAATTGTGGGTAGTAAAAAGAACTAAAACTTTTGTATTTACATTTTACATAACCTGAAAATTTATGTAATAAATTCGAAAAACCAAGTTTTTGGTTTTTTATTTTTATTTCGTATAAAAAACAATTTTTTGACACGAAATTTGGTGACAACTTACCTTTTGATGTTACAAATGCACTGTAATTTATTTGATTAGATATATGTATTTATTTTTTCAGCTTATTTTGAATAAATACCGAAAAATCAGCCTTATTTTCAATCGAAAAATCACCCGTCAAAATATCAGCTATTTTCAAAAATTTGGTATGTTTTCAATTTGTTGAAATCTCTATATTCCAATGGTGAAGAATTGGTACTTGCAGTACCATTTTTGGATAAAATTATCATGTCCCTTTTAATAAAATTACACTAGATATCGTTTGGAAAATGCTCTTTCAATTTATTTTTAATAGTTTTAGCAGCTTTATGTAAATTTTCTGTAAATTACCTAAAAGAGGGACCATCTGGAGAACTTCCAGAGTACACAACTATTAAAAATAAATTAGAAAAAGCATTTACAAAACGATGTCGAGTGTCATTTCATTAAAAGGGACATAATTATTTTATCCAAAAATGGTACTGCAAGTAAGAAACTTATATTTTTTTCTTCACCATCGGAAAATAGAGATTTCAACAAATTGAAAACATACCAAATTTTTGAAAATAGCTGATATTTTGACGGGTGATTTTTCGATTGAAAAAGAGGCTGATTTTTCGGTATTTATACGAAATAAGCTGAAAGAATAAATATTTCTAATCAAATAAATTACAGTATATTGAGGACATCAAAAGGTAAGTTTTGACCAAATTTCGTGACAAAATATTATTTGTTGTAAGAGATAAAAATACAAAACCAAAAACTTGGTTTTTCGAATTTTTAAAATAAAAATTGAGGTTATGTGAAAAAAATGTTAGTACAAAAGTTTTAGATCTTTTTATTACCTACAACTTTGCCATATAACAATTTTCCGTAGGACTTTTAGTTTTGCCGGAAAGCGAGAAAACCCATTTTTTACCTTTAAATACCCTCGCCCGTACCCTTCCCGACCTCAGATCGCCCGTAAATTATTTTTCCCTTAATTTTTAAAATATTCCAATCCTTTTCTAATGGGTTTCATTCTACTATAATTTATTTTCTTTTTTTATCATTTTTAGAAGCATCTGCACTGGCCTAATTTTGTTCGTACGGGAACACAGTAACAGTCATATACAGTATGAACTCGTGTCACAGACGATAGATGTCGCTGTCAGGAAGTAGCGTATTGTTTGTTGAGTCTTGTGTAGTATGTAGTATGTAGTGTATGTACTAACGTGTGTCTCGGCGTGCATCTCCGTCTTCCTGAACTTGAACAGCACCACGTGCCCGTGAGGGAGCGCCACGGCCAGCCGCCGGGACTCCGCGCACAGGGACGCTGCGCACACGCACAGAGGGGACTCCTCCTCATACCCACCGCGACGCTCGAACACTGGGGGGAAAGAGGGGGGGGGGTTATGAAAAATAGAATAGTATACAGAGGAACTAGTTTATAAATTACCTTTGGAGCACTTCAGTTTATATAATATTTGTAAGGTGCCCGCGCTCGCGTCCCAGAACTTGATGCTGCCGTCGGCGTGCCTGCACACAACGATACAAGCATTGAAGACACATAAAGCAATTTGCAATTAATATACAGGATATCAAAGAATACATCAACGTTTACATAGACTGGGCTCAGGGATGTTTCTTTTGTAAGATAAACTTAATTTAAAATATGCCGAGTGACATTTTTTATTGTTAACGCTCCTGTTCTAAGAACATGTTTATCGACATAACGAATACCAAGTTTGTTTTAATTTATGACCTCTTAATTAATACCTCTATTAAAATATTTGATCTACATCCCATAAGCAAAACAATTAATTAATTCAAATAAATATTAATCCTCTGTGTATTATTATATAAGAGTATAGTTCTTACCCTGTGAGTATGATCTCGCTGTAGGAGCAGGAGGCCGGCGCCCACTCCCCGCCGTTGATGGGCCACAGCTTGTCACTGAAGCCGGCCGTCTTCTTGTTGCCTTGACGACCCACCGAGTAGAACGCTGGGATCTGGAAATATATGTAATTTATTATAAATATTTTGTATATGTAATATGGTGTGGTCTGGTAGACCCTTGACTCGTCAGTAGTCGGTTATATACCAAGTCTGAAGGACAATCAGCGAAGTAGTAGCAGCAGGTGACTGAAGACTCGTGTATGTCCATGGGGTAGGGGTTCTCGAAGCACGGGTAGCCGGGGGACAGGAGGTCGATGACCACCAGGTCGTTCTGGAGAAGGACCACTATGGCGTACGGCTCTTGATAGTCTGAAGTGGAAAACAAAAACATTAAGAGGTACTTCAAAACAATCGAACTCAACGAATATGTTTATTTTTCATTAAATAGTTATTTTATTTAATAGGAACCCAATGTGATACACAAAAACTTATAACTACATTATAAAATGATGGAACTTAATTGTTTACAATTGCGTATCATCACTTACAGGCTAACTCAGCAAGGGTTACGTAATGTTTAGATCTTACTCCAAAACTTACTAGATACAATAAAAAAAATGGTGAATAAAATATGTATATAACAAAAAGGAATAAATAATAATAATCTAAAAACAGCTATATAAAATGAAACTTAATTACCAAAAAAAGTTGTGACATGACATATTATTGAGAAAGGAAATGTTTTTTAATTTTACTTTTCTATAAATTCAAACTATCATTAAAAATGTGTAGGTTTGCTTTACGCTCAATATCATTATAACATTTAATGATTCTATTTATTGGCGCAGCTTGGCCTAAATTGGTCCTAGAAAATCTACTTTTAAAAGTGTAGTATGTTGTATGTCTGGCATTTTGTCTCGGAACTACAACATAAAATCGATTTAATAGATTAAAATCGATTTAATAGATCAGGACAGTCGATAGTATTGGATATAGTTCTATGAAAGAAACACAGGTCCAGCATATCTACTAAAGAAGGTGCATTATAGTTAGTAAGTATAGTCTTGTAATTTTCGTTCTGTAAATTATTTTTATCAATAAAGCATAAATATCGTAAAAATTTCTTCAATATTCATTCTATTCTGTCTTCATGGACACTATAATATGGATTCCAAGTAGTTGAACAGTACTCTAACTTATTGCGAACTAAATAATCAAACAACAATTAAAATTTTTTGTATTCCTAATTACGAAGGCTATGGACTTGAAAGACTTATTAACAATATCTTTGATATGTGGAATGAAACTGAGTTTGCAGTCCATTATATGTTAATGAGACATACAGTAAATACAGTTTTGTGTGCTTTTAACAAATTGATAACAAAATTAATTTCATAAACAATAAAAATGTAGACGCTAGAAATATGGTTAAGTAGTGTGCGTGTGTGTGTGTGTGTGTGTGTGTGTGTGTGTGTGTGTGTGTGTGTGTGTGTGTGTGTATATGTGTAATGTCTCACCAGCAGCGTGCGGACTCTCACAGAGCGTGACGAAGTCGACGACAGTGTGTTCCATCTCCAGCACGGTGGTGCTCTTGCCGTTGAGGACCGTGATGCTGTGCGTGCGGCCCGCCTTGTCCGTGGGCAGCCCGCCGGAGAATATCACCAGGCTCTCTCTGTAACACACACACACACACACTGCACATTAACTATATACAGTTCGTGATCACGGTTCATCTCACTCTCAACACATTTACCCCGTCCTCGAAGTCTTCCACTCCAGTCTGTGTATCGGTTTACATGACTCCATCTTGCCATCCTTGTTCGCTTTCGCTGGAAATCGTAATAAATGATACATTAATACATTTTCTATTGTTCTTAGCGTTTAGGATACTGTCTTATAAATTGAAAAAGAAAGGGTGAGTTGCAACGTCTGGAGATGATAAGACATTTCAGTTCTATAATTAATGAAAATCTAATTTGCCTTTATTTATCTTTTCGAACTGATTCTAGTCCTTATTTATTTTATTTATTTAACAATTGTTTAAACATGTCAGAAACAATTAGAACAAAAATATGCCACAGGAAAAATAAGTTTAAAAGGTATACTTATCCCTAGAAGAGATTTCTTCCAGTATACCCAGGAAAGAAGAAGTGTAGACAGAGAACTTAAAAGGTAGACAGGCAAAATCGAACAAAAGGAGAAAAGATACAACAAAAAAAAATACATAAACTTATACTAAACAAAAAGAAAAAAAAACATTAAAATTAATTTTACTTAAAAATATATTCTCCTTGTCCTTGTATTCTCGTGTTAATTATTATTGTTGTCGTATTGTATGTTGAGTTCTGTTTCATACCATGTGGGTAGGACAGCGAGGTTGGTCTAGGTGAGCGCGTGCTCCATGTAGCCAGTGCTCCGTCAGCATGAGCCGTCATGAGTTTCCCGTCGTGTTGCCAGGCGGCCGCCCGCACTCCATCCCCGGGCCCGCCGGTACCCAGCGAGCCTCGCCACTCGGCGGCCCGGGCTCGCAGGTCCCATACGACCACCAGGCCCGTCTCAAATGCTATCACTAGCTATAAGATTTTACCAATTATTCGTATAATTATGTTTTTTTGATAATAAAACGGTTGTGAGTCAGATCCTTTCGTGTCAATTAATTTATCTTTCTATTATCTATTTGATGTTATACAAATTTTAGACATTATACTTAAATGTTTTCCACCAAGTTAAAGTATGTATAGCATTCCAGGTTAATTTAAATATTGATAACTTGTCAATGTCAATCAAATAAATATATTATCTATACGTATTATAAACGTGTTAAAGATATCTTCTATAAATGTAATATTTCTTAAACGATCTACAGTCCTACCTTGCTGGCATCAATAGGGTTTTCACTCAAGTCCACAACAGCTCCAGGGTGATTTGCTCTCGTTCTGTCGACAAAATATTAATTATTTATATTATAACTCAAAAATTCCTTGTCGAGTAAAACTTTGGATAAAATTAAAAAGTGACATCATTAAGCCAATCTTAGAGACTACGGTATAAGTAAGTCACAAACATATGACAAGAGTAAATATAATAAGTGATAATAATGATGAAATAGTTACGGAGAATTTGGTAAATAACCATGTTTGAGAAGTTTCTTTTAAAATTCTATTCAAGTAAAGTATGTATTTAATAGTTTCCCAATAATCTCGTCTTCCAAAGTATTTAAGTATTTAAACGAGAACCCAAACCCTGTTGTAAACAGAGAGTGTTAGAATTATCATTTCATATCCGATATAAAACTGTTTCCTGATGTTTATTAAAAGTCTCAGTTTTAATAACGTCAATATTTGTGCTCAAACAAATCTGTAACACAATTTATGTATCCGACAATAAAACATAATGAATCTTGATCCGCGTCATATCCATATAACGGCGCCACTTGTTGCGACGTCTCGGCGACACTCCCCCCGTCCTCCCTCGGCCTCCCCCGTCTTCCCTCGTCCTCTCCATCCTTCCTCTCTCCACGTACGTGTTTAAAGAAAGCCCGCTCTTGATAACATAATAAACTGTCGATGTATAAACATTACATTGGGAGCGAGCGGTCAACTCGTGTTTGTATGAAACCAATCTTCTGTAGCGACGCCAAGTGAGTATGTGTTACAAAGGATTTCGTTAACGATTCACGTTTTCCTAGAAGTGTACACGCTCCGGTCAACTTTCAGCTGAAATGTTAATGTTGGGACGTTCTTGACACGCTTTAATAAGTTCGAGGCTGTTCTGCCCCATACTAAACATCATATATACATACAATCAAACATTTATGACCTGGCTCTATAGTACACCACACTCAACACTCTATGAAGTACGTTTTGTTGTCCAGCAATCTGTTTTATGACTATTAGTCCAGTTACATATTGAGAGTGACGTCACACTTTAAACTACACAGTTATCAGTCTCACTCAGAGATCATACACATATGCAAGTACAACATTCAAAGTACATTTATTAACTACATAAAGCCATCACATAATAAAAAAAGTCAATTGTAACGAGTCAACTATCCTTAAGATAAATAATCGTTATCTTAATTCCTAATAATTAGATGAGCACATTATTTTCAACAGACCCGCACATCGACTATAACCGGTTAAACGAAAACAGCACTCGTTAAAGATAAAGCGAGCCGGAAAATCAGCTTCGTGAAAATCTGTTAATGCGCTAAAATCGCTCCAAAAGCTACAGAGCACGATTCATTGGATGCTGGACTGTTCAGTGCATGTAAGAGGTTGTACGAGCTGAAACAGCACATTCTGATAATAGACGGTCATTGTTATTTGATATCAAAACATTGTTTTCAAACGGCCCGTTACTTTTTCATGAATAAATCCATATAATATAACACCTCCGTAATGTTGCGATAAATATCATAAATCGAACCGTATTGTGGTCCGTTCCACAAAGCCCATCCGGCGGCCATGTTGCCTCGCCGCCATATTGCCGACGCCATTTTACACGGCCTTATCTACCCACGTTGTTTAAGTTGTCAATACAGGTACAAAAGCTGTTTATTGTCAATACAGCTTTAATATTCGCTGGGAGCCTGTTCTCCAGTACCTTCGATGCTTATCGTGTTTGGATATTTAGACATTTGATCTCATTTAAACAAACTATATTCTGTTTATGGAACTTTAAGGTAAGGACGGAAGATGAGGAAGGCTCGCGTGGTCTGATTGTTAAATATTAATAATGATTCAAGTCACTCTGTCAGGAAGTTCATTGAGAGTTGTTTTTGAATTCGGTTGTGCAGTTCGTTACAGACAGCCAGAGGGAGGTAGGTGTGCGTATAGCGAGGAGCAGAGCCGCGGGGCAGCACGGGACGCACACCAATTATAATTTAATCAACAGCAGAGTATTGTGCGTGACGTAGTTAATTCGTTTATATAATTGCGGCGAGATCGGCACTAACGCCACAATAATAACCAAACAAACAAACAATATACATATATTATTATACATTTAACGGGAAATCTCGCTTTATAACTATTCACTGGTTTCAATAGAACGAGAGATAATGGTACTTTTTAATGAACATTTTTGAAAAATCTTTTTTTGGGTATTAATTGTACTCAAGAATGAATAAAAACTATCTTTACCGTTTTATTTTTTTAATAAGACTGCAAAAGTGTTGTACAAATGTGAGACTGGCTAGGTATGACATTGCGCCGCGTACTATGAGTGATATTTATAATGATGAAAAGAAACACAAGAATGGTCTTTGGATGTGTTCTCTGGCATTACTGGCACTAAGGAATACATTATTAATATCAACTTTTCCTATATGTATTTAGATCAGATTCTTACTATTAAGCAGTGTTTTTCTAAGTTTCAAGTACTAGTGGCTGTTGAATTACTAAAACTCCTTGTCTATAAACGTTTAAACGTTTATTTCTCAAGTAATGAACAGTAATCATGACAACTCGTCAATTCTAAAGCAGACGATGATTTAAAGAAGTGTTGAATTTAGAAGAAGGAATAGGCACTAAACGCTACAATACATATATTTTGACAAAAACATTTTTGATTCCAAACTGAATTATGGAATAAATATTGAATTATTTTGTCGACGTTAGAAGAACACGACAGAAAAGATCATAATTAATAAACACACCCCTCATACTTAAAGAATTAAAGAATTTATTGATGTGATTAAACCATTTGAATCCTTATTTATTAAAAATCAATTTAATATCGGAACAAACAAAATTTAGAGGTTTTATAAAGAACGTGCAAATGTGTTTGTATGTTCACATAATTAGGTACTACTAATTTTTATGTTAAATATTAACAATGAGATATAATATATGTATACATATTAACTATATATTTATAGTGATTGTGAAATTATACAACTATTTCTATTAGTAATTATAAACTTAAAATTATATACGCCAAAACTAATTCCCACACACAAAGAACGCCTCTCGCATGGAATAATGGCCAACCCAAAAGACCTTTACGGAAATTGGAAATCATTGTGACTTTATAGAATAATATTTGATATTTGATATAAATGTATCAGAACAGGTAAATACAAGTGTAACATAAGCACATAATATTTTGTTACAGCTCACAAGACGCCCGCTTCATGACGCTCTGTTAAATTTTATATTCTCTGCGTGGAAGCAATCACAATGAAATTGACAATTTAGCTTTCATACGTTCAACGTTTTATGATATATATATTTATAATATTGTACGTCGTTTGATGATACGAATTATAAAAGGAATCATTTACGAGTCGCTGTTAAAACATAACGTACATTGATGGAGTAAAAATTTAATTTATATGACACGACATAAAGTATAAAGGATGGAACGTGTTCATCTTAAATATAAAAACGATATAATAATAGGAGAAGATTATATCAGTTCAGAACATAAACAAAGTCGGTCAACATTAACTGTCTTACACTCGCCTTATCACTGCTGGGTCATGTGGGATGAAACTTATTGTATTGATGATAAGTATATATTATAATAATACTGTTTTAATGACATCCGATTTATTCCAAGTATATGAATAGTATTAAATAATATGCTCTCTCAACAGATAAGGAATTCTCCTACATTTGGTCGTTTCATAGTGATCCACGATGTTTTCTGTCACTACAAATTCCTTTTCAAATACAATATCCGACTTGAATCATAATAAGTACGGTGCTATTAACTGATTGTAAAAAGTAAGAAAGTTTGATTTTATTAAATAACAATTATTAATTGACTTAATAAGAGTAATCATTAATTTATAAACAATATTTTTTATCATAAATGTTGTGAACATCGCTGTTCGTATGACGTTACCTTTGTCAATAGTTCATTGGTTCAGTGAGTCGATGTATCGTGTTATATGAAATTCTCTCTATATAAAAGTGTTTCAATACACTACACTGTATTACATATTAATAAAATCTAATACACATTATTATTATTTTTCCAAATTACAGTTCACACATGTTTTATAAAACGAGTATGTAAGATGCCTGTGAAATGTCCCAATAGTTACTAGTTACTCTTAAGAATATAGTAAAATAAAACAAGTTAGAAGATCTATGGACGTTGTCTTGTAGGAGATAATCCAGTACATTTAAATCACACGCCGCGCCATAGAAAACTTCTGGAGTAATAAATATTTTTCTATGACAGAATTGCTATACCATTTATATTAATGTTTAAAGAAAGACGTAATAATGTATTAAGAGTTTTTTAAAAGATGTATCTTTATATATGTACACCCATTATATATATACATATATGTATATTATTTTCCCGTTTCATATCTCGGTGTCGAATACTTTCCCTAACTGAATATATTAATGAATGTTACTCTCAAAGTTTCAAAAGACTTTAGCTCTTTATTAAACTTCTGGTTTTCAATTAATTTCTCAAACGAACAAAGTTCACTTCCCGGAGATAGCAATTATATAACTACATAGTTACAATACTATTCAAGTTGTTGTGACTTGTAACATCGGATAAAGTTATTTATTGAACTACCTTTTATACTAATAAAAGATTTTTCTCGCATCTTATGAATATAATATCTCCATTATTTATATTAAAAATCTTTTTTCAATACTTTTTATTTGTTTGTCATTTGTCTTTCAAAACTTTATATTATATAAAGGAGTTAAATATTTGAGTTTATAATTCACATTGGTAGACATCGCTTGGATTTAGTGAAAGTATTTCAGTGAATAATATCTTTATTAACATAGATACCAACGAGACATTTATCAATCTTTGTTATCAGATTTACAATTCAATGATAATTATTTGAATTATTCTATAACTTTTGCTCACCAACAGTATGAAAGTAAAAGACTTTGAATAATCTGTAATCTGTATAAGAAGTAGAATCTAAATGACTAAATTCGTGAGAGAAAAAACTTATTACATTACTACTTTATATTCAAAATTTGGTAGACTATAGCTGTGGTCAAGTTACTACAGCTCGAACATGGTCTGTCTCGACCGGGGAAGTACATACCACCCTCTCACAGAAGATCGGCGTAAAGTAGCCTTTAATGGCTGCGTTTCGTCCGATAAGTGAAAAAGTCCGTTGCCCTTTCCCTGTTCCTACCCTTTCCTGCTATTTCCTTTTTCCTTCCCTTCCTCTTCCTCAATAACCAAGGTTGGCAACGCATTCGCAATATATGTTGGGGATATCTATGAGCGACGGTGACTACTTTCCATCAGATAGGCCGTCTGCTCGTTTACCACTTTTCTCATAAAAATAAATACTAATAATAATATGTTTAAAACAACGTTATAATCGATGAACCCATGTTTAAGTCATATGTCTATCTGTCCGTTCGTCCTACTCTCCCCCTAGTTTCTGTACACATCGCTTCAATATCCGAGAAGTTATTTGTAATAATTCAAAACAAATAATATTTCAATCAGAACAGTCTCACGAGTTGGATTTGAGAATCTCATAATGTAGTATTGATTTACGAACTGAATAGTTTAACATCAAAAGCGAAAGTTATTACACTTGAGGATATTAGTTGTTCCCATTTTATATTTAACGATCTTATAGAAAAGGTCGATTTCCTTTCATGTTCTTAACAGGATATTCAACATCACCATATAAATGTAGCAATTTTTTTCAATTTAAATCTTCTATATATATAAAAATGGATTGCTGTTCCTTAGTCTCGCTAAAACTCGAGAACAGCTAAACCGATTTGGCTAATTTTAGTCTTGAAATAGTTCTGGAAGTCCAGGAAAGGTTTAAAAGGTGAGAAAAATTGGAATAATTGCCAGGAAAACCCTAAAAACAGCCCTTTTCTATTTCCCATACAAACGATTTTTTGACATTAGACTTGACAACTAACTAATATGTCAATCATTCTGTTCGATTGAAACAGTAGGAATTTAATAAATACCAATACCGGGTTATTGAAGACGGAATAGGTAGAGTTTGCCAGGTCAGCTATACGGTCTATATTAGTAATGACCAAATTAACGCGCACGAAGTCGCGGGCAAAACCTAGTACAATATATATATAACGATTTTATAAATCGGTGTCTGTTTTGTTCAGCGTCGCTTATAAAGTGGTCGCGTTGAGTTTAATAGTTGTAATTACATTGTTATGAGCTGTAATTAAAACGCTGTCGCAGCACTAACTGTTTCAGAGTACACTATATAATATAACAGACATAAAAAGTTACGAGAGCACTGACCAAAGTTTCTAACGCCTCGTATACTATGTAGTACTGCGTACAGTGGACGAGCGAGCTTCATATGTACCTGTCTATGTATTGAATATATTTTTATTAACATGAGCGACAGTAACTATAGGATTATCAAGCTGCCACACGTCACACAGACCCAATCACTCATGTATGTCAACGACGAGTACTTATTTGATAACTGTACATTATATATGTATGACTAATATATAAGTTTTTACTGAAATTTAATTGAATTATTTGTATAGACCGCATCACAGGTTATATCGTTTGGTGACCAGTTCATATGTAATAATAAAAACATTTAAACTATCGTCGTATAACATTTATCAAGCGTAATCTATTTAATAATTGACCTAAAATGAAACGTATGATTAATTCGTCTTTAAATTTTTTAACTTGAAGACGTAGATTGAATTTATAAATGTAAATTTGAAATCTTTGCCTTATATTTATTTCGTAATTAAAGTTTTTATATTTAAGCTGGAGAGAGTCAAGGATGATCTTACTGGTCCACGTTTAAATAAAATTGAATTTATCTCGTAGAGCGTGTCGTCCGATCTCATCCAATATTCGACACACAGAGGACTTTCATTGTGTAATGAGTGGAGCGAGACCCGACCTTATAGCATCAAGTCTATTACATTCAGATGTCCGTCACGAACACTTACAAATTATACATCATCACCCAATCAGCGATGATTGTAAATCAACACACGACTACACTCATGAAATAGTTTTACAAAACAAAAAAAACATGAACCCGGAATGTACAAAGTAATTTAAATTTGTAACACAAATATCATAATCGTAGCTGAACTTCGTAATTTCTTTATCCAAGCCTCAGTTTTTATGTCGAATGTAAATAGAACTCGTCAGGATCAACAATAACTGTCAAATATTTTAAAAGATTCCTTTCATAAAAGCTATGGACCATTCTCAAACCGCTGAATAATAAAAGGGAGGGCTCATTAAAACTTTGCTCGACTTTTAAAAAGAAAATTGCACGCGCGGATAATTCAACAGCGGGCAGCAAGTTTGTGCTGTTTTTGATAAAAGTCCGTTTGCTCAAATTGCTCTCGAGAGCTGCCAGAGAACGCTTAGTCAGCTATTAATAATTCCCGAAACATTCCGTGATTTCAAAAACGATTTACCTCATTTACAAAATAAATATATCATATAATATTTTCTATGACAATTGAAATAAGTCGATTGTATTATAAAACCTGGGCGGAGGGTCAGGCACCAGATCTGTTATAATAATATTGATTCATTTATTTTCAATCTGTAGACTTGTTATATTTTAGTTCGTGTGCTGCGGCAGAGTGAACGTTTTAATATAACATTTAAAATACAAACATATTTTTTAATAAAACTTCCGCTTTCTATTTTTCATTCTACTAAGAATAACGTGATAACGGGAAGGCGAGATGAAGGAGACTCCAAAGATGTTTTATAAAATTTCAGAAAAATACAGTTTATCTTGAATATATACTCGACCAAATATTATAAATTATATATTAAACTTTAAAATACAAACAAAAACATGAATTATGTTACTCATGCGGTCTGTGGGCACACAAAATATACGAGCGTGTGGTTCGTCACTGTACATCGTAACAGCTGGCGGTTTAAGCGCGTCGTTGATTTAAAACGGAGATTGAAGCGACAACTTTTAGTGAAAAAGGTTTAGGTATAAAATTTCAAGGAAATCTATTTGACACCGGGTCTCATCCGACGAATCTTCGTAACCGGATAAGACAAGGAAGATAATCCGGTTAGGGAGGGGTTGGGGGTTGGGGCGACCCTTAACGAGATAACGTATGCTGAATAAACAGTTGTGATAAAACGTGCTTCAAGAATTAGAGATAAAGAATTAGAGAACCTGGAATAGATTGCTCATCGGAAATACTCATTTGAACATTTTTACTAATGTTACAAAGAGAATTTCGAATAACAGTTATTGAAGATGAGTCAATAAAAATTCTTAATGATGGAAAATGACAACAGTATATAAAAACCAAAAGTTACATTTGAATAACGTTGACGAATGATTTGAATTGTAATAAATATGAACACATTTATAAACAAAGAGAATGTTAGGGGTCTATAGTGTACAGAGTCGCTCACCTTTTAAATAATAGGATCCCTTAATTAAGAGTCTGAAGGTCGAAGGGCGAGGGAGCAAATATGAGTGTTGAACAAATAGAACCTTAAACGATGATGATTATCTTTATTATTTAACTTGTGAATACTTATTTGCGGTCCGGCGAAGTTTCTTTAGCATTTTGACTGTTTTACATAGACCTATATTTGATTATTATTAAAGTTCTATTAAACGCCTTTGTTAAGATATGAACGCCATACATATTGGTAACAGCCCAAGGATCAACAATCAGCTATCATTAAAATGGATCTTATGAATAGTTATCAATAGTATGATACTTACACTTCTATAGCTTTGTTCCAGTTGATGACGTATCCGCTGAGCGCGAAGGTCTCTATGTTGACAACGTGTACGTTCCCTCGCTCCGTGCCTACGTGGATCCACTTGGACTGAAGAGGCAGGTGGAGACACGTGATCCTGATGACAAATACAAACATTAGAATAGTTACAGAGACTAGAGTAACGCTGTAACAGTTATATGATACGTGGTTGATTGTTTACTTATATGTTATAATAACTAAATTAGTTTTATATCATTCGAATAACCAGCCAAAGGAAAAGTCATCATGCTATGACAGAAGTAGCGTCTGTAGGGACTATAGGGAATATGAATCACATTATATATAGTAACTGGCTACTATCAGCTAATTACGACAACTCTCTGACCGATTAAAAACTACTTTACCGAGTGCATTTCAATCAAAAAAGGGAAAACAGCAAACTAAAACAAATACAAAACGCATCTAAATGAAGAGCCATTCTGTAGCGAGAGCCTATTCCGGTAGCTATTTGAGCGGAACGTACACTGAATACAACGACTAACAAAGCAATGGCCACTAGAAAACAATTTCTATGTAGACTTTCTGATAATGGATTTATTAAATCACTAAATATATTGATCTAGCTGAGACAATTAAAATAGGGACTTCACAGCTGAGAGCGGACGGCCGATCAAATCCCAAAATCCCTATTCAATGAGTTACAAAATCCTATTTGAAGCTGCTAATATGGAAACCACGAAGCCGAGTACAATGGGCTTTAAAACAAAGTCGAGCGGATAGGGATGGAGGTCTAGTTAGTGGTACATGTGTGTGACTGAAAGACTACTAGCATGGATTAGAACAACGGAGTATGTGGTAGTATATGGCGTTTAACTTGTCCTTGCTCAAAGAAATCATATGAAGACATATACTTTACATGTTTAAAGAAAATGAAAATCAATTTTCATTACAATCCAAAGCCGCCACATTCATTGTTTAATCAAACAGTTTAAAAGCCGAGTTGTTATTGACATTTTTTTCTATTACAATACAAACTGTGTTCGTCGTAACGTCCGCGTCGCGTGTTCTCTCAATGTTTACTTCAAGTAATTCACCGATCTCGGAACTTCAGTCGTTAATGCAAAGGAAATAACTTTATTTAATCATGTGACGTCAATAATTAATAGGTCGCTGAGAGGTTATTACCGTACGTTTCAATTTACAACCGGCGAGCTCATCGATTTCGTTAAACGTTTAGCAATTTAGAATTAATGAACATCCGCGGATGCTGCGCTATTAATAATATGAACATTGAAAAACACCGCGCTCAATACAGTACAATTAGTGAGCAAAGGGAAGTTGAAAACCTTTCAGACTCACTCGCTGGAATTAATTAAAAATACGTAGGTTCTGAATGAACGGCGATTGCAGTCAGGTGGGAAGGCTTTCATCGAGACTTGTATGGTGTTTAATAGACTCGGTTACAACACCTCCGATATACGCCAATTTAAACTTCACACACAGAAACTGTTCATTTGGGTACATTGAATGGGAAATGGATTTGATTAAAACAGAAAAAGTTTTAAAATATAAATAAAAATACAATTCCTCGACCATTTATATTAGATTCGTATCACGTGTAAAGTATACGTCTTCCCTTCAGTGTGTGTTGCGTGCCTGAGCGCGGTTTATAAAACTATATTTCCCCGCGACTCTCAGCAACAGCCGGACCGCAACGTTCTCATAATTATAACGTGCCTTTAGAAAGCCATCGCTGCACTTACACCGTATTAAACAAGTCCGAGAGCGTGGCTGCGTTAATTCTTACGATATTTATTTTTAACGTCAGCTCCACGCTCCGTGTAAAGCAAACATGCTGACCCTCATCCGATGTTTCCCGCGTGCGTGTGCCGGACTCGCTTTTACAGCTTTACTGTGACATTATACACATGTCCTCACTCTATATCCTCTATCATCTAACCAAATACTTGCAAAACTTCTTTATAAGTCAAAAAAGTAGTAAGCCATTACAGCTTTGGGACCTCTTAGAAGTGTTACGAATTTTTGAAAATGACAAGGGCTCTTCGGACGTTGATTAAAGACTTCAAATTCCAATTACAACTCATCGTCTTGCTTTTTAAATAGCTTAATTTAACATTTCAAAGTAGACTTTATTTCAAAGATTTAATGTAGAACGTGTAAGATCCGATAAAAAAAAGTTATTTTTATATTTCTATTGTAACTTCATAGTAGCGTATTATGGTTTTAACCTTTTCGTTGCTTTAAAACGACAATTAAAACGAAACTTGCGGTCGTTGTACGTGATCGCCAAATTTTGATAGCCTTTCCTGTATCCGCCGAGGAAAATTGTCCCTTGTAAGCATCAGTATAGACGTCATATTTCTTCAAAGGCGTTTTTCATTATCGGTTATAATAAAAGGGTCCAATATCTATCAAAACAGAGGAGGTCATCCTCACGTCCAGTGTGCCGTTCGCTACACGTCATACTTACAGTCCTAACGTTCCCTCGAAGACTTGGAAACGTACCAATAACTATTATGCAAAATTTATTGACACTAGACCCAGTCGTTACATTAGCACATTGAACTATCCTAAATAGTGCGGGTCACATTAACTTAAATAACATTTTATATGTTACCAACGTATCGGCAGGCTGGCAGTCTCGGCTGACGACAGAAAATTTCATTAAACTTTTATTAAAAAACTTCTAGGTACAGTGTACAGAGCGTTAGGGACACATAAAGCGCATGCAGACGGTTTGGTAAACATTATAAATATTTAGATCATTCTATAAATCTCTCCGGAGAGAGGCTCACAGATGGTGATTCATCGGGGAAGGATTACATATCGATTTACTGTGTGGATACATTATTACTGAAGCCTTACAGGTACTATGTACACGATATGGGAAGGTTTTCTAAGGAATATTTTGGTATATTGAAGCCTTCAGCGTCAAGAGAGCATTCAGTGGAAGGTTTAGTAGATAGAGCGGGTGTAGTCGTGCAACAACGAGGACAGACATTCATCGACACGAGCCTCACGACACTCACCCCTTGAGTTCGTCTGTGTGTCGTGATAGTTTGATGGTATATCTGTAACAATGTGCAAGGACGGCCAGTAGTGACTCAGCTGTAGGAGAAGTAGTAGGACTTACAACACACACCAGCGGAACACGGCAGTTAGAACGTTCCTCATCATATTAAAATATACATATTTGAAAGCGTGAATTAAGTGAAGTCTTTACATATATACTATAAAAGTTTATGTTAATAATAAAGCTACACGGTGGTATGAATTATTTACAATGTTGTAAGTAACTGGTATTTACAGAACAGATAATTGTTATGAGAAAGTAAATACTGGTTTCTAGATGTCAATTAGACGACGAAATTAATTATAAGTTGACGCCTGATTAGAGAGATTTTAATGGAAACACAGTCAAATGTATTAGGTATTAATGATGGTGATTATTGAATCTCTATTCCATCAGTTCGTTTGTGTATCAGCTCGCTATAGCTCCTCACTCGGACCGTGGCCGACACTCAGCAATTAATTACAGCCGTGGTTTCCCTCGCCCATTATTGTACTGTTTAAACATCTATGTACATGTGACTGTGATTGTGTTCTCTGAGTGTGCGTCTATCTATCGCTATAACTTTGTGATAACTATCTGATACATAAAATCTCATTCATGTGATAATAAATATCTAAACGTTTAGTCTCAGCGTTAAATTTTATCACCCCCCTCCTCCTTTTACCCTCCTTCCTCGCCCCCCCTCGCTGGCCCCGTCCAACCCTCGTCCTATACGAAGCCCATTTGTATGGTAATTACTAATTATAATAATTAATGTCCAACGAGTGGTCGTTACAATCGGTACTAATGATTTATTCTGTCATTTACCGTGTGAATGTTCGCTGTACATTAAGTCGTTACATTCAACCTGTTTCTGAATGTGCGCGCCAAAAATTATTATATTATTCATGAAAAATATCATGAATTATGTAAATGTATGAAATTTAAATTACTGTATACAAGTAAAAATATAACCTACGCTGTTGTAGATACGATCATAACTCACCATATACTCTGATATCTAAGTTCATCAATATTTGTAGATCTCATATGTCTATAGAAAGCCAATTGTGTTAAAGGTCAGCTCTAAATGTTCAAAGCTCTGTGTGAACTCACCGTTCTCTCTGGAACTTGAGCGCCTGCACCCTCTGCGGGAACTTCTGTCGGAAGGTCCATAGGTTGAGCATGTCGTCTGCTGTGGCCGTGACGAGGGCGCCTTCGTTGATGACGAACTTGGCGTGCAGCACCGCCTCCCCGGACTCATGGCGGACGTGAGCATCTACACCCGGACCACCGAGACTGAACACGGCTCAGGAAATACATGATCATTATATATTGGACATGAGAACGTGTCATCACACCAGGCTGTATTGAGTTTATTCTATATTATAATAATGTATGTAATTAACACTATTTATAACTCAAGCTGTATCTAGCTTAGTTTAGAACCAGGAGACGGACATAGAATATTTAGTTTTATTCATCGAAACAGAAAAAAAAGACTTAATAAACCCCAATATCGTTGTATTTATGGCCGCTAGGAAGGTATTTGTGCGGTCAGCTATACATATATGACTAATTCTGTAATTAACGCGGACGAAGTAAAGTTCTAAACCTCGTATTCATATATTTTATCGCCTTTTATTCTACGGCTAAATAAATCATTTACTTTTTAGAACTGGGATCGAACCTTTTTATTTATTCGTCAGACGTTACAGCTTTCGGAACCTTAACGATGTTTTATGAAATATCATAAAGATAATACGCGGGCGAGTGTGAGAAGACGTTGATATAACACAATATACATTGAAATTATTTCATCATTACTGAAAATCAAAAATAAAGATGTTATATTAATACACGAATTTGTGTAATGTATAACTTAATGTCTTTATGTAAATTAAATACATATGTATGTAGAAATAGTATCAACGCCGTGTATACCAGTTGTAAGTTATTTTGTGACATTCGTCCATGAGAGATGTTGCTCTACGATACAAACTCACTTTACAGTGTAGTTGTAGTTGTAGTTGTAGTGTAGTATATGTAGTAGTAGTGTTCAAAGAGCCTGTCAGCTATCCATTACCCTAATGTGAACTACGGAGCGTGGATGTTTGGTTCTTGTTCCAATTTATTTCCATTAAGAGGGATCTAGTTTATTGGACGTTTATTCCTAGCGAGAGAAGCTCCATACAGCTACTCTGTTGTGTTAGAGATATACCTACTAGCATCATGTGTGTCATAGTGACGTCATGATTAACGAGCTTTAACACTAATAATGACATAATGTACGTGTTGATGTTTGCAAATAATTCTTTTAGATTTTATATTCGATACATTTTCATATAAAAACTATAAAATTAATGTACATATTTCTTGTTGAACTAACGAATATTAAAGCATTTCTGGGACTGTTGTTATTGGTACAACATCCCGGACCCTCGTCCACGCTCCAGTCTCCACAGTCAACACACACACACACACACACACTCGTACATAGAGGCTGCAGACTGCTTGTTTGTTCGTCTCTTAGTTTGGTGAACACTTTGTGATGCAAAGCGGACCTCGGTGTTCCTTTAGCCGTACACAAACACACACAGACACTCACAACCATACAGTAATAACAGGGTTATAATTGATCGATACTTTAGTTACATAACTACATACAGACATTGTCTATTATATATGATCATTTTAAATTTAAATCTGTCCACACATGTGTAAAGTTCCCATATTCCACATCAATGTTTTTCACATATTGTGTGAGGGATACGAACATTATTCAGTGGAAACATTCACAGTATCAATATTTATCGTTAAATGATTGCAGTCGCTACTAATTGAAATATTAAATGTTATTTTACACACACCGTTGGTTCCAGGAAGTAGCTCGGTATGTTTATGTAAATACGGTATAACGACTCAATAAAATGAACTAATTGACTTATAATAAAATAATGTTACACGAGAACCAACATCAAAGTATGTTTACATTATATAATATATATCATAAGTATGTGTATGACATATGTACATTTGTATTTGTAGTAAGATCAGACCAGTTCATATCAAATAGATCTTCTCTACTGTATATATAAAGAATCGTGAATTTAACTTAAAATATACAATGTGACTCTTCTACTTTATTATTGTATATTCCTAAATTAAATACATTTTGTATGATAAAGTGCTTCAAGCATACTAATATCTGATATTCAACAAAAAAACATTGCCTACTGTTTTTGAAAAATATGAATTTTCAAATAAAAATACATATACATTTTTCAGTATCAAAATATTATTACAATATGTTTTCCATTTATAATATATGAAAACAAATCAAATCAAATCAAATCTACAAGCTTTCAAAAACCCGTAATAGAGCAACTCAAGATCAAGTTACAACAAGGATCATTAAAGATCAAGACGGGTCCATGAGGTACACAGATAAGGACATTTTGGCAGCATGGCATAACTTCTACAATAAGCTTTTGAACACAACAACAAGAACAGTTGTTCTGCCAAACATGAGAAAAAACTTAGGAGTAATATCTTTAATAACACCTCAAGAAGTAGAAGTTGCCCTCAAGAAAATGTCCAACAAGAAGTCTCCAGGGCCCGATGGACTGCCTATAGAAGCCTGGAAATGTCTAGGGGAAAAGGGTATCAATATCCTTACGCATTTGTTTCAAAAGGCTATGGAAACTTCACTCATACCAGACGCATGGAGATTAAGCACAATTGTTCCACTCTATAAAGGCAAAGGAAGTAGGTACGAATGCAACAATTATCGGGGCATAAAGTTGTTGTGCCATACAATGAAGCTGTACGAGCGAATCATAGAAAGTCGATTACGGCAGGAGGGCTCATTGTCAGCCAATCAGTATGGTTTCATACCAGGATTATCAACTGTGGATCCGATGTTCGCAGTGAGCATGATTGTCCAAGAGTTTAGAGCTAAGAACAAACCGCTTTACCTTGCGTTCTTAGACATGGAAAAGGCATTCGATTGTGTACCTCGAGCAACAATCTGGTGGAGTCTTCGTAAGAAAAATATCCCAGAAAGGTATATCGATATTATAGCCGACATGTACAAGGACGTAAGATCGGTTATCAGGACAACAGTAGGACAGACCAAAGCGATACCAGTTACAGAGGGGGTACATCAGGGATCAGTGCTGAGTCCATATCTATTCTGTTTGTTGATGGACGCCCTCACGGAAAATGAACAGTCCTTGATACCTTGGACATTTATCTATGCCGACGACGTGCTAATATGCTCGACAACCCTTGATGAACTCAAGAAGGCTCTGGAAAATTGGAAGCGTCAGTTGCAGAAAGGTGGCTTGCTACTGAATATTGCGAAGACCCAGTACATGGTTTGCAACGATCCAGCTTCAGAAGAGGTACCTCTTATCATAGATGGACAACGAGTCACAAAATGTGACGAATACAAATATTTGGGATCCATATTACACTCATCTGGAAATTTGGACGCAAATATTCAGCACCGTATAGCAGCGGCCTGGCTTAAATGGCGGGAAGTGACTGGCGTAACCTGCGACAGACGAGTGCCAGTAAAAATCAAGGGCTTAGTATACAAGACCATAATCAGGCCGGTCCTAACATACGGCAGCGAGACTTGGGCCATAACTCAGCGCCAAACCAACGAAATCCAAGTCGCCGAAATGAAAATGCTTAGGTGGATGTGCGGAGTGACGAGACTCGACAAAATTCGCAACGAGTACGTCCGCGGCAGTCTCGGTGTACGCAACATCGCCGACAAGCTTCAAGAGAGCAGACTTCGTTGGTATGGGCACATAAAAAGAAGACCTCCTGACTATATTGGAAATGTTATGACCAATCTGAACATCACGGGGTCCAGACCCAGAGGGCGGCCAAAGACAAGATGGACAGATGTGGTCAAAAAAGATCTAAAGTTGTGCAAGGTTACCGAAGAGGACGCGTCCGACAGAGCGAAGTGGAAGAGAAAGACCAGGAAGGCAGACCCCACCATCAGATGGGAATAATAATTGCTACGGAGAGAGAGAGAGAATATATGAAAACAAAAAAATATATTGTTTTTTGAACTGAAACTGATATAAACGTTGCGTTTTTTGAAAATTGCAAACTTAAATTATTCAATACTTTTTCAATTCCTTTTATAATTTATTACTGTACTTATAAAATGTTCTAAGGCGTTATTTTAAACGTTAATGTATTGTTAATATTTTAATATTATTACATAAAACAATATTAGAGTACAAGTTGTGTTAGGTCTTAATGTGAGGTCAGAGGGTCAGTTACAATTAAACAGCTCATTGTAATGATACCGTGGAACGATTATTACAAAGTTGTTCGCGTTTAAAACTTTACATTATACTCCTAATGTTAACAATAACTGAACATTTAATATCTACGAACATTAAGCGTTACTCATTTTTTTTTTTTTTTTTTTTTTTTTTTTTTTTTTTTGTTATCGCGGTGAAAGGTTTTATACCTACCCCTCCGTCTAGGGGAGACAGAGGCGGTTATGTGGGATTCACGGCCAGAAGGGCCCATGTTACCCACTAAAACACCAGCGGTCACTCTCCGTTGCCGCCAAGTGGATCGCCACGGGAAACGCCGAAGCATGCATCCGCGACGATCCGGCGGCGGGCCGCGAACGGCCACCTCCCCCCCCGAGAGCTCACTCCAAGTGACCAGGAGTGTCCCCCCGCCTGGCGGGCTTGCTTAATCGCGAGAGGGTTAACCCCTTACCCCTCCCACCCAAGCCCACGCGGCCAGTCTCCAACCACCCACCGACGAGCGCAAGCGCCCGACGGCAGACAGAGAGGAAACCGACCGACCACAAGCGAACTCAGGCCTCCGGAGAGACCCGAGTATCCCCTCCCCCCCCAAGACAGCCACGGACGGCCTCCTGCCAGATCCGTGACCGTCTTACTCCCAGGGCTGTACCCCCAGCCCTCCCCCCCGTGACTGATTGCACCGGAATACACCAGTGGGCGATGGGGTCGTCACGTCCCGACGCCGGACTGCGCCGACAGTGGCCGAGGCCACCCGCCAACACGTAGGGCCGAACTTGGCAGCGGCGGTGTACACCGCCGAGCCTCGTCCTACCCACCTCCATGGGCTGCACCCCCAGCCCGGGCCAAGACCCCACGAGGAGGTCAAGGCCCTTCCCCCCCGTGACTAATTGCACCGGAATACACCGGTGGGCGATGGGGTCGTCACGTCCCGACGCCCTGAAGCGTTACTCATTAATATAATAAACACTAACTTAATAAAGTTATGACTTTAAAACTTAGAAGAGTAAATGAAAATGTGGAGTTATATACTGATGTGGGAAAGACATCATACATTGAGAGTAAAGAATAATGTAATAAATGATTACTTCCTGATAGTAACAAAACAAAAATATAAAGAATCTGTTGGATGTCATTTATATTAAAAGAAAATGAAAATCACAGCTAGTTTGTTCGTTTGTATTTAATAAAAACAATTAAATAATTAATGAACAACAATCCGGACCGATGTAAAGTACATTATTAGCCTGGTTACTATAGAAACGGAACAACAGAACATATTTACTACATATAATGTAGTTAAGGTAGACGATAAAAAGGAATCCCTATCAAGTATATTGTGATATAGTATTTTCATTTCCATCTCAATGTGTGTATGTGTTAGGTATATGGCAAATATAACTTCATACTATTTTTCTCAGTTATAATTTCATTGCAAGTCCCTCCTCTTATTTGACGATACACATCATCATGCTTTGTTAGCTTTTGATATTTTTATTTTTAAGGCGTAGTTTCACATTCTTTCGTTAAATATAATCGAATGCATTCTTTTCTTTTAAATATTATAAACTCTCACAGAGCTTTCTTATGTTGAGTATTCAGGATGCTTCAATTTATATTGAAGGTTAGAGATTTTTAGATTACAAAGTTAGAAAAATGTTTTATAAAAGATGGTTGTAAGAGCAACAATATTGTGTTTATGTGACATAGTTCTAAAAGAAGTTGTCTTCGGATAGCTCATTATGAGATTGAAGCGATATTAATGTCGTATGTTCGTACGAGATAACTGTACATTAATATGATATTATCTTTATTTACTAGTACGTATTATTAAAGGTCGCACGTACGGTACGACAGCTCTGATTTAAACGTCTAAACAGCTAGTGATTATTATCAAACACGACGGTAATTGACTGATAAAACAATCAAGATTCCCTTCTCATAATTAATTTTCCACGCTCCGTGTTGTCAATTGCGTTCAGTGAGGTCTCGCACCCTCCTGCACCCTCCTGCACCCACTCACCCTGTCACCCTCACACCCTCGGGGTGTAACGGGGATTAACGATTTGTTTCAATATAATGACCGAGAGGAATATGATTTGTTGCTTTCGATTTTGTTTATGAGTAATGATTATACATAGCTATACGAAACCATAATCATTTTGTCAAAAAAATTATATAGACTTGTATTAAATGTTAAGTTTTCACCTGGAAGATATAGAATATTTAAAAAGGATGGAACGCTCATTATGGATAATATGAGTAATATAGAAAAATGCACATATTATTAAAAAGGATTAAAAATCTTACAGTTATAATTTAATTTCCATTGAATACTCAAGATCTGTAATTTTTTTCTATTTACCGTTTATCAGTCCCTTTACCATTTCCATGTACCGGTCTCAGAATTTTTTTTACTTTTCAAAAAAAATGAGACCATTTATTATTTATATGTATTTAGTAAATAAAAAAAATATAATACTACCAAATCTTTGCACTGTTAAATTTAAAATGTTATTGTATGTAGATTAAAAAAAGTTTTGTTACCGAAGTGAAAAAACGACGGAGATAACAATATACGTAATAATAAACAATAACATAAAGTAAAGGTGAACCGCGTCACCCTCTCACTGACACTCTGAAGGAAAATAACAATTATTATAATAAAACGTTACATAGCAACAACGATTACTACGACTATATAGAGACGAGATAACGGACCGAGACTATGATAAATATATACTATATAATATATTATATTATATATAATGACATAATAAACATATTATTGAACTAAAAGTATAGGTTTTCTTGAACTCATATTGAAAACACGCAGGATTATGTAACATATATGAATATTCAGGGAGAAACTTCACTTTTTAGGAAAGTTAGCTTTCATTTTGACGACAATATATTGTTGTGTAAAAAACATATATATGCGCCGTCATTATTATTGATATATGACATACTAAAATATTTTGATTTATAATATATGTACATATATCTTCTTCTACCTGACAATTTCCCAGCTTTAGCCAGGGTCTGCTTTACATGTTGTGAATAGTTTTGGCTAATTGTTACCGGCCGCCTGCCTGACATCAACCCTCTTTGTGAACTAGCACATATAATATATATAAAGGATACATTCTTAGATTTCCACTTTTGTCTCCGATAGCGAGGAGCTTCTGTATGGGGTCCCAGGCGAGTGCTGTGGGGGCGAAGGGGAAGCCGTGACGAAACGTCTGGAACAATAGAAAGTATGGAGAATTAGTATATTAAATGTTTACAGATATATTAATATGTACGAAGAGAAACTAAAGTAATACTTAAATGTATAATACGCAAGCAAATAGTTACAAATTGAATTCCCTTCTCCCATCGTATGATCATGTAATATAATATTTTAATACATAGTTTGCTTTAATATTAAAATCATAGCAATATTATATATTTTTTGTTATTAAAACATGTAATTGTTCTTATTCTATATTAATACAGCTTCGTTTCTAAACCGTCAAATAATCTCTTCAATAAATCTCGCAATGAGTTTATTTAATCTAGATGTATAAAGAGTGAAACAAACAGTTTTCATAAATCTTTAATATCCTGAGACTGCTGCTGTATTTTTCTCCGGAAATTTAAAAAGAAGACGGATTGTGTCAGATCACGTGTTGAACTCGTCTCGCCTTTTACTGTACCTATTGAAACACCGACCTCTCTAAGATGGATCGACTCATTAGAACACTTCCTCTAACAAATATATTATACTCAAACGATTATAGAATAATGTAGATGTGACTTATGATAATATTATTATTGTATAACGAATATAAGTGAGTATCGATTACACCTTGATAGTTTAAGAAAGGAGAGATTACGAAAGGTGCGCTGTTATCTGGAGAGAAGGTTATCGAAGAGAAAACAAAAAACAAAACAATGAGACGATAGCAACAGAAAAATAATAAGTTTTGGATATAAAAGGGGTTGGTCGGAGTGTGGAGTCACTCGTGGTGGACTAACGGTACGATGAGGATCCTAGCGTTGGCGGCGATCATAGCCGTGGCATCGGCCACTGTCATCAAGGACGGCTCCTTTGTCATCGGCAAGGATACTCTGGGTAAGAAACACATCTTAATATACCATACTCAAGATATCTTTATGGTAGTTATTATGTGAATGAAGACTATGGTTGAGTTGGGAGAGTCCTAAGTTATTAATGTATATATTTCTGTTACAGTAAATGTAGACATAAAAACCAAGGAGGTGTTATGTATGAAGCTACTGAACTACATCCTACAGCCGACGGTGTACGACGACATCCGCGATGTGGCCAGAGACTGGGTGTTGGAGGAGAACATTGACAAGTACCTGGTAATATACAGATATCTTTGTATTTGAAAGAAATATTGTGATCTTTTTGAGCTAAATTTCTTAATAACGATATGTAAATTACAAATTCAGAAAGTCGATGTCGTGAGGAGGTTCATCGAGATGTACAAGATGGGCTTCCTGCCCCGCGGAGAGGTGTTCGTACATACTGACGAGAAGCAGATGGACCAGGCCATCCAGACCTTCCGTCTCCTGTACTTCGCTAAGGACTTCGACACCTTCATAAGAACCGCCTGCTTCCTCCGCGAACGCATCAACGGAGGCATGTTCGTGTATGCCTTCACTTGCGCCGTCTTTCATCGCGAAGACTGCCGTGGAGTCTCCATCCCCGCTCCCTATGAGATCTACCCCTACTTCTTCGTGGACAGCCACATCATCAACAAGGCCTTCATGATGAAGATGACGAAAGCCATCACCGACCCCTTAGTTATGGACTACTATGGCATCAAAGTCACCGACAAGAACCTAGTCATCATCGACTGGCGCAAGAGCGTTCGTCACGTCCTTAGTAAAAATGACCGCTTGTCCTACTTCACCGAGGACATCGACTTGAACACCTACTACTACTACTTGCACATGAACTATCCTTACTGGATGACTGACGACGTATACGGCCTCAACAAGGAGCGTCGCGGTGAGATCGTTATGTACGCCAACCAGCAGCTGCTCGCCAGGTACAGGTTGGAGCGTTTGGCTCACAACATGTGCGACATCAAGATGATCATGTGGAACGAACCTCTCAAGACCGGCTACTGGCCCAAGATCCGCCTGCACACCGGAGATGAGATGCCCGTCCGTAGTAACTACGTTGAGCTGGTGCATAAGGACAACCTTAAGGAGAAATTGTATGTTGACGACGTCGAGAGACTTATCCGCATGGCCATTGTCACCGGAAAATATGAAATGGTAATAAATTTATTTAAATACTAATACAATTATGTACAAACACTGTTACAAAGTTACAATGTTATATTTCATTCCAGCGCGACGGTACAGTACTTAATCTGAGGAAATCTGAGGACTTCGAAATCCTGGCCAGGATCTTGCTCGGTGGTGTGGGTTTGAAGAATGACGATGCTAAAGTTATTCACATTGTTAACTTGTTCAAGAGACTGCTCTCCTACAGCAACTACAACTTCGAAAAGTTAGTTAGTTTATATAATTGTCAATTCACAAGAAATGAAATATGTTTATTCACGACAATATGTATTTTAGGAACACCTACATCCCAACCGCCCTCGACATGTACACCACATGCCTGCGAGACCCTGTCTTCTGGAGAATGATGAAGCGCATCACCGATTACGGCGTTCTCTTCAAGAAGTTGCTGCCTAAATATACCAGAGACGAATTAGACTTCCCTGGAGTTAAGATCGACCGCATTGTTACTGACAAATTGGTGACTTTCATGGATGAATACGACCTGGACATCACCAACGCCATGTACCTTGACAAAACTGAGATGCAAAAGAAGAAGTCCGATATGGTATACGTGGCTCGTATGCGCCGCCTCAACCACCACTCCTTCAAGGTCACCGTCGACGTCACCTCCGAGAAGGCCGTCGATGCTGTAGTCAGGATCTTCATCGGACCTAAATGGGACTGCATGGGACGCCTCCTCAGCTACAACGACAAACGTTTGGATATGGTTGAAATCGATAGCTTCCTGTACAAACTGGACACTGGAAAGAACACCATCGTCCGTAGCTCGATGGAGATGCACGGCATCATCGGCGACAGGATGATGACTCGTCGCATGGTGGACAACACCGTGGACACCACTGGCTCCATGGAGAGGATCGTCGACAGCTTCTGGTACAAGAGCCGCCTTGGTTTCCCTCACCGTCTCCTGCTTCCTCTGGGTCACCGTGATGGTCTCGAACTGCAGATGTTCGTGATCGTGACCCCGGTCCGCACCGGCCTCGTCCTGCCTTCCATCGACATGGGCGTCATGAAGGACCGCCGCGCCTGCCGCTGGAGCGTCTGCTTCGACACCATGCCGCTCGGATTCCCGTTCGACAGAGAGATCGACATGAGCCACTTCGTCACCAACAACATGAAGTTCCACGACATACTCGTGTTCAGGAAAGACTTGGACATGTCCAACTCGGTCAAGGACATCGACACCTCCGACATGGTGATGATGCGTGATGACCTCACGTACCTCGACCGAGACTTGCTCGTCAGGTGGTCCTACAAGGACGTCATGATGATGAGCGGCGACAAGATGATGCGACTCTAAACACATTACTCACGGAGATATTTATTATATCACAATAAAATATGAACATTGTTAAATAATATCTACTTGTTTATTTTACAATCCACTTCCATTCTACAACTTGGCATATTGTCATTGAAGTCAACACATTAGACTGTATTTATTATTACTCATTCTCATAACAATAATTTCTTTATTGTTTTAGTATAAAATCGTGTTTAAATACTTTAAATTTTCAACGCGATTCTATTATTAGCGCATCGGAAAAATGATATAACATGCCAATGGCATCGGAATTTTTAATAATCAATGTTTCACATCCAATGATGCGGATGCCGCGTTCAATAAATAACTTTTTCATACAATAAACACATTCAATATTTAATTTGTAATTTATAACTCCTCTACATATTGCTACATCTCTGATCAGTTCTCAATTATTTATGTCATATTATAATCTAGTTGTATGTTCAAGTTTTGCCATTAAATACTAAACAACGAGTTTCTAAAGGTCTTCAATGAAGTAAAGTTTGTAAATTCTCTAACGAACTGACTAACAATATTGTGAATATGTCTCCAGATACATAAAGTGTTCAAACTTCATATTCGAGTACATTCATCTGACCTCCGTCTAGACAGGACTGAGATGTTCAAAAATAAAAAAATAATGACTTACATTACCAGTAAAAACGAGACCCTTACATACATCAGGGTCACCAAAGATATATAGAAAATAAATTTTATTAAATTGGTACTTTTTCAAATATATACTGAATTTTAATAGTACACAAACAATATCAAGATTATTTATAAATCAGTGACAATTCAAATGTAATATTGTCATGTTGCTGACTGTGCAGATGTTAGGGAATTCTGTCCTGTCATGAGAGCAGTCAGAACACATATGACACATGCTCATAGCTCGTATGAATCACACGCGGCACCGATCAGCGACCTCCATCAGGCACCAAGGATATCAATCAGGTTCACTCCTAGGGAGCAACAGGTTTTATATACAATCACTTATATTTTACTTCCTAGCCGTCACACCTGTCATGGGTTACATTTTAAAAGCACAAGTTATATTCGATATAATCCATGTATGTACTTAACAAATTTTAATTGATTACATTTATTGACATTTTATACTTTATTGTCTATAAAAAGCTAATAAAAGGAAGAGTCTGAATGGAGAGGGAGAAAAAGAACAAAGAAATAAAAACACTTTTAATAAAGTAATCACTTTTTTAATTTTTCTGTCGATAGTAAGAAATAGCACAAAACAAAATACAAAGAATAAGAAGCAGTTGAAGTTAAACAAAAGAACAATACTATTGCCTGTTTGGGATTTCTGCCAAACAGGTTTAGTATAAGAGACTTGAACGGAATATTTAGATTTTGTAGTGAAAAATTAAAAACAATCAAATTATAAATAACTAAATTGCATGAAAAAACACGATTAATGACTAAGACATCCAGATTACTTTGTTTTTCTCTTGTTTTAAATAACAAAAATAATATTGTATCGGAGACATACAAGGATGGAGGAAACGTTATACAAACAAATAATAAAATAATAGCAATTTTGAGATATAGTATAGTGCAGGTACATACTAGTGTAGTGAACTATATCTATGACTGATAGACGAACTACAGAACATTATAAAACATAATGATTATTATAAGTTCGTATCGTCGCTGTATTAATAGTTTTCCATAAATTTTCTTACACTGTAGTATCAACGTATGATATTGAATGAGAAACGGTAAACGATTTGTAAGTAATGTGAGATACAGACTTATATAAAACAAAACACTGTAACATTACATTAGCGATGATGTTATGAACAAAACACATGGTTCGATAAACATGCTCACGTTCATAATAATATAACACACTCGTTATAAACTCCACCGACTAAAATGTGTTACAAGTTGATAAGAAAATAGATTGTTTCCGTAGTGGCGGTAACTTCCAACGGAGAACGGAATCTTTATTTTATTGCATTATATTACCAAAGTTAGGTTTGTTTGGGTGTTATATAAAGAAAGTTCTCATGATGTACGGAGTCACTTGATTGAAGTCTTTCTATTTACATATGAACTGCGAGCTACAGTGGATCCATCGGTATTATATGTTGTTACCAGTTCTGAGTCTCTGTGTGTGGTTCACTCACTCGTGATAGGGCCCGTGTGCAGTCTTCTGTATTTATAGCGATGTTTATAATCGCTTTTATTGAACTAGCTTTCACCGATGGCTTTGCCCTCGATGATTAGATATTTCAGGAGATCCTCTCACAATAAAAAAGAATAATTTTGAAAAAACAATATAATAGATCAAAGAAACTGAGTTTCGAACTATTGTTTGACTAAAGTAAGTAAATTCAATGCACATCATGAATAAAGGCAAAGTTTGGACGTCAGTAAGTTTATCAGAAAGAATCAGGTCATAGAAAATACCGAGTTTGTTAATTTTATAAATTCATAAAAGAGTTTGTTAAACAAAACATAAGAGAAAGAGAAAGAGGCAACGAGGAAAAGTCAAGAATATAATGTACAAAAGGCGATGTTCAAAATTCGATAGACTATTAATTTGGTGAGTGGCGCCGTCCGTGAAAACTTAACGAGACGTTTTCGTCTGAACAAAAAACAAAGTAAGTTAAAGACGTCAGAAGCGTGTCCTGTGTCTGTGACCCGTTTAAGGTGGCTCGTGTTTTCCTTGTCATGAAACATTACCAGCAACAGCCGCCGACTATCAACTGTTGCTCCGTCCCACGCCCCATCTCACTCCAGCGGGTCCATCTCGTAAATAGAACAGACAATATTCGCTTCGAATAATGGCTCTCTATAAAAATATTATTGTCAGCTGAGACGAAACGGTTCACGGAGAGAGAGCTGAGATATTATACTGTGACGTCACTCTGATTATATTGATGACGACCAGTCTGTCGGTTCGTGGATTACATTTTAATATAAGTACGTTGTAGGCCGTTTGATAATTGTTCTGTATTTCACTCATTTGTCAGGGTTCATTCGTTCCATTGGATTACAATTGGTTCCCGTTTTTATTTTCCCACAAAAATTACTATTTTCTTAAAAAATTACAAGTAACATTAATGTAAATGTACAGTCCATTTTCTATATCGGAAACAGACGTATTACTTCAATTTTTATACAATAAAAAATATTATTTGAAATGAAGACTTCCTTTTGATATTATTGGGAATATTTTCTTTGTTATTAGAAAATATTATGTAGATTGATTCACAAACCTGGAAACAATAAAGAATAAAAAATAAGGGCAATTTATCGGCCTTTTAAGGCTTTAAAGTTATTATTGAGGGACGGTAAAAGGCTTCTCGAGTTATCAAAGCGGGCGGGCGGCGGCGGCTCATAAAACTCACTTAAGACTATAATAACTTTGTAAGACCTTAACACAATCATTGAATTTAACTTTGTGTAATTAAGAATGTAAGAAACCTGCTACAAGTAACTTTTAACCCGAGAAGTCAAAGATTTCGGCGAAGGCGGCGTCTCTCTAAAATATTTGGGCAACTCTCTCTGTGGACCCGATACCGCAAGATACTTAGCTCGCCGGTCGACAGTGGCCGGCCGACGCTGTGACAAACTTTGAGCGAGGGAAATAGAATTAAGCTGCTGAATATAAATTGACCAAAAATAAACGCGCTCTCTCTCCGTAAAATCAATATATGAATAATGATGAAGCGTGCCGTTAAATTTACTGGCGGTTCAGTAAAAGGGTTGGAGTTATACAACAAATATTATTAAGGGAAGGTGATTATTTTAATAAAAAAATAAATGAATATATTTTTGAGTTTATCACGACAAAATTTATTATAAGTGAGTAAGTGTTGTTAGTATGAATATGGTCAAGGAAACTTTTTTATTGTGTACCTCTATGAAACATATGCCTCGCGTATAAAAGGCACTTGACATATATTTAAATTCTCTCAGATCTTTTGTCCATCAATTCTATTGGACTATATATCAGACTCACAGTAAGTCTATGAATATACCAATTGAATAAAATGTCTGTCCTTCCAAAATAGTTTTTGTATGAGGAGTAGTAACGGGCAGTAAAAGCAGTAATTTCTGATTCATTCAGTAACCTTTCGTAAGTCCGTCATAAGCTCGCAGTATAAATCAAGTCCTCCATATATTCTCACTCTCAGTAACTCAACAAGCAGTTCATAACACGCGTGGTCGCAAGTTCAGAGACACCAAGGATATAACGAAGCCCTTTATACATATTTTTGTCCAAAAACCTTCGATATCCTCATGAATGTTATTATTGAAATTTTGTCACATAAGTAACATAATTTCAGGATGATTTCCGAAATATAAAAGAGCTTAAACGCGTGCGTGTGTAAGTACCTTTAAATAAATTCGAACTAATTTTTTAGGTGCTTATTTTTTTACTTTGAAGGATATAGTTCTTTCTTTCTATCTTTTTTTGTGTAAGTCATAGCGTGTAATGGGTTCGCGAACACCCGCGGGAGGCTGGCAGTGATACGTCAAGCTCACAGCTGGGTTTAGACGGATTAGGGTTACAGCACCTGCGCTGGGATGAAGCTGACGTCGGTAAGCTGACTAGCTAACTAAGATTTATTTGTTACAAGTAATTCAAACAGTTGAGGTATTAAGTAAATCAGTGACGAGTGACGCAGGATATTCCTTCAGCTGTATTAAACATGTTCGTTCCTGTTCCACTGTAAGCATCATGAACACTTTTCTAATTACACCGCAGGTGAAGTGTTTTATAATGTAAGCTGAAAAGTCGTTTCGAATGTTTTCACAAGAATTGTCGGGGGTCGGCTTAAAGAGGCCGCGGGAAGAAAAGTGAGCCGAGGACTCCTACGATGAGGGTTATTGAAAAAGGTTAAGAGAAGGGTTAAGGGCTTGTGGAGTTTTGTTAATAGACGCGGTTTAACTATTTTACATTAAAAATGCTTACTGCGAGTTTGTTTTCCTTTGGACAGAAACGTTTGACGTTGAAATAA